CCATCGGGTTCTTGGTCACCTGCCTGACCAAGGTCCTTCTCCCCCGATTGCTCAGTTTGGCCGGGCGGCCATCTCTAGGAAGAGTCTTGGTGGTTCTAAACTTGGTGGTTCCAAACCTCAATGCTGCAGACATTTTTTTGGTACCCTTCCCCAGATCTGTGCCTCGACACAATTCTGTCTCGGAGCTCTACGGACAATTCCTTCGACCTCATGGCTTGGTTTTTGCTCTGACATGCACTGTCAACTGTGGGACCTTATAGATAGGTGTGTGTCTTGTTTTGTATACTTTGTAGTAAATAATAAAATGCAATACGACAGGATCTTTATAAACGTAGCTCTTTATTAACTAGCTATAACTGGCATGTTCATGTGTCTCCGGCCATGATAATCTTAAAATGACCTCACCACCTGGGTGGTCTTAACCAATCATAGCGCAGTATGATACGACGGTAGAATGCATCCAATTACAATTCAGTATGCTGACACATATGAACATTATAGTGTGTGCCTTTCCAAATTATGTCCAATCAATTGAATTTACCACAGTTGGACTCCAATCAAGTTGTAGAAACATCAAGGATGATCAATGGAAACAGGATGCACCGAGATCAATTTCGAGTCTCATAGCAAAGGGTCTGAATACTTATGTAAATAAGATATTTAAAAAATTTAAATTAAAATAATAATTTGCCAAAATTTCTAAAAACTTTTTTAACTTTTTCATTATGGGGTATTGTATGTAGATTGATGAGGAAATGTTTTTATTTAATCCATTTTAGAATAAGGCTGTAACGTAAGAAAATGTGGAGAAAGGGAAGGGGTCTGAATACTTTCCGAATGCACTATATTTTTGTTCAGTATATTATAGTGGTTGGAATGGAGCGAATGGAATGGCATCAAACACATGGAAACCATGTGTTTGATACCATTCCACCTACTCCGCTCCAGCCATTACCACAAGCCCGTCCTCCCCAATTAAGATGCCAACAACCTCCTGTGCTATCCATAATAATCTCATCATGTAGACTAGCCTACCCACACTGTATCTGCCAGCTGTTGGCTACAGCTCACATGCCACGACCATAGTAGGCACATTTGCTATTTAACGCAACAGTTTGTGACAAAACACATTGCACTTCAGATTTTTACTTGGTACATGAAAACAAAACAAAAATACATTTTGTGTGCACTATCATCACGCAGTGATTTTATCCACAACAAGTCTGTTTGGTGGAAACTCACCACTAGTGGAAAAATTCACATATTTTCTTTATGCTATTTAAAAATATATATATTTGCAAGAAAATCTGTCCCAATTGGATGGAAACCTAGTTAATGTGATCAAAGGTCATGAAGTTTTGACTGCAGCCAAAGATGATAGAAATACTGACAAGATACTTGTCTCTTCGCCCTAACAACGGGAGTCATAGGCCCTTTTCACGTGACGTCAGACAACTTCCGTTCTGCCGCGATGCAGGTTATGTTTACATCCGGTGTCGCTTAGGAACGCTTAGCTAGTAGCACATCATTATGGAGTTCACCCAGTCCCTTTCACATCTGCCACCAATACGACTTAACGACGTAGAACGACTTGCTGACAAGTGGTCCCTTACTTCAAGATCGAAGCTTGATAAAGGCTACAAGTTCTTCGTTGAAGGTTACCTGTTTGATTATGAAGGTACGTGTTTATCTTTATTTAGCTTAAATTAGCCCTATGCTAGCGAAGGTTATGAGCTGACGAGTTTCTGTTTTGCAGCCTCTTTTTAATATTACTGCTGTTTGTATCGACCGTAAGATAAGAGTCAGTAATGTATTAATGGCTAATGCTGCGCCCTTTCTCCCAATCACTGTATTGAAACAGTCTCAAGTGTAGTTAACGGTGAGGTGACAGTGAGAGGGCGATGTTACAGGTCCATGAAGAAAAATGAGGAGGCTCATCGGCTTCAGGTTTCTCAGATAAACAGTTCTCTAACATTATGATGCCAAACAGATACATGGATACAGATACATTATGCCAAACAGATACATGGTTACTCTTATTTGTAATACTAACCAGGAGAAGGACGGCAGGCATAGTCGTGATCGTTTGTCACTGCAGGCAAAGCACCCTCTGTGCTGTCAGGCATCTCATGATCAGAATCATCCAGGACAGCAACACCAAGACGCTTTCTTGCTCGCTGGTAAACTGACTCCCGAGCTTGTGAGCCGCCTCCTATATGTGTGAAATTAACCATATGCTTGTCATGATACATTTTGGTAATCACTTTTCAGTCCCTAAAATGACAAAATGTAGCAGCTATATTGCATCAGGATTAAATTATTAAACATTTTGTACAAGTAATATATTATTGGATTACAGTAGTATTACGTTTAACGCTGTCTACCTATCCTTACCCCAATCATTCCAGTGGAATCTAGACGGCACTGATCCCTGTTTAATACGGATCCGTCCACTGGCCGATGTGTATCTATCCTCAGGGGGAAAGTGCTGACTGCAAACAAAGGTGCTCCCACGAAGAATCTTAAAACTTGGTCCCTCATCTCTCCTGATCGCCCTCACCCAACGGGCACGTATTTCTCCATCAACAGGGAAATCGTGAAAACTCAGATACGGGAATTTCTGTTTGTTGTTTGAACAAAATGGTACACTGCAATAGCATCTTCTCGAAGATTGTGCCATGCTTCGGTGTTGGATGGGATACTGTTGCGATACAGACACCGGGAGAAAAGAAACAGCTAAATTAACATTCAGCTTTGACCAGGAATCAATATTTATCTAGCTATCATGCACAACAGTATTTGAATAGGTGAGTTACTATACATTCATGAATAAACTAACTGCCTAACAAAGGGTTAGATAGCTAGCTAAGTAAACTTGTTACATTACAGCCAGGCAGCAATGTAACGCTACCTTTTAACGTTATCGGTATCTGGTACTAAGTTGTTGTTAGCTAACGTTAGCCCACTTTTAAGTAACTAAGGCAGTGAACAATTATGAATTAACAATAACGTTAGCAAGTTACAAACCATTGCATATACGTAAACATTATTACTCTTAACTTTACTAATTTAACTTAAACGTACCTTTTGGAATTTCTTCAAGTAGCTAGCTTGCTAGTTAGTGGTCAACAGTTGTATTTTCGTTGAGAAGTCTCAGGTTACGGGCGAACGGAAGTGAAGTTAACCTGCTACGCGGAAAGGCGGAAGTTAGATGACGTCATCGTGAAAAGGGCCTATTGTCCACAAAGTGGCACAGAGGGCTGTCTAGCTCCCGCCTATCCTTTCTTTGGATTGGTGGATACATCTCATTATTGTAATCCTTTTTTAAATACTCGATGAGGGTTGTTGATGTCAACTGCCTGTATTCAATGGAGAGAGATGCTATGCTACTTGCCTCATGCCTCATGCCATGAACATGCATAGCCATTTCGAGACAACTCTGATACAAAGTGTTTTTTCTCAAAATTGCCGGGATGTCACGTGTCCTACTTATATCAGTATACTCGTAACAACTTAAGCATTATGAAACATATATTCGGTCAAATAAACCTCACGTAGCAAATAAGCCATTCATTTTTTGTTGTTGACCAAATTCGACACTTTCATTGACCTCCATTCAAAAACTCCTTGCTTGGTGGGCGAAACAAAACAAAAACGTCACCTGCTGTAGGGAGACAGATTTTCAGCCGAATTGCTGCAGTCTACTTCCGTTTTCTGCACTTGCTCCTCACCAGCTGCAACTTGCAACCATCGCTTGCATTGTGGGAGGCACTATTTGTAAACCAATCATTAGTGTTTTTGTTTGACCCACGCGAACTGGACTGAAGATGTGACTGAAACAGGAAGCAACTTTGCCGCGATTCATATAGTTGATATGTACAAATGAACGTGATATTTAAGGCTCTCTCCCCCCCAACCGATAGTACAATGTACATACATAACTAGTTTGTGGGTGTGTGATATGGGGGTTGGATACATGTTTATTTCAACATTACAAAGAATAACGTTTATAAACAATGGCAACACTACCATGTTGCACTGAGCCCTGCAGTTATAACACCACATTAGTGTCCCACTTTCGGCTCTTGCAGATGCACCTACCCGACTTCACACCTCGGCTTTCGTCTGCAGTAGGTTGCTTCAGCCTTAAAGGCTACATCGTCAATCTGACGTCTGCAGTGGCCATCCACAATTTACTGCGATATGGCCTCTGGAGAAGTCTGGGCAAGTATACTTATTGAGCTTCATTGAGCAGAGCTGCTAAGAAGGAAGTGAGTTTGTGTTTATAGTGGACCTCCCGCCCCCACCTACCGTCAACCAATCATGTCAATGCGGAACTATACCGGAGCTATATGGGAGCCCTCGCATTGTTAAATCATTTGGGTTGCGCGTGGCGATGGGGTATGGAGCTCAATTTAGTCTCTGCGTGCCTCCGAAGGCGCCGCAATTGCGTCACACCCTCCATACCCTATGACCACATTTTCGGATCAAGCATAAATTGGCTTTTACCACTCAATCATTTACATTTACATTTTAGTCATTTAGCAGACGCTCTTATCCAGAGCGACTTACAGGAGCAATTAGGGTTAAGTGCCTTGCTTAAGGGCACATCGACAGATTTTTCACCTAGTCGGCTCGGGGATTAGAACCAGCAACCTTTCGGTTACTGGCACAACGCTCTTACCCACTAAGCTACCTGCCGCCCCAATCATCATCATATCTATCCATTCATTAATTCTGCCATTCAAAAGAACTAAAACATAACATGGTGATGACAGATGGGTTTGGTTATGATACAACACTGTTAAAAAGTTACAAAAGAGGGATAACCTTCAGTTTACAGACGGCACAAATTCTGTCCTTGGACCAGCCTTGGTCACGTGCCCAGTTTTCGACCTTTACGGTCACCTCAACCAAACGACAGGAAGACGTCATACTCTATAACATCATTGATTGGACGCGACTACTAGGTGTATCTCTTTCTGATTGGTGATTGGCTCAACGCTCGTGCCACTGGGGTACTCTGCTCCTTCGGCGTGTGTTATCAGTGAAAATGGCGAGCTGGTGTGTCCGAGCTGTGAAACAGAGCTACTCAGTTGTAGCATCTCCTTCATTAATAAGGTAATAAATTACGAGTGTACATGTTAATATGTTTGTTGAGAGCATTGTCTGTAACGTCGTCGTTAGTAAAGTAGCTTGTGCCATTTGCCATCACCCTTGGCCGGGTGCTAACTAGCTGGTTAACGTCGACCTATCATGCTGCTTTCGTAATGGGTTTGTTCAATAGCACATTTCTGATAGGAAAGCTAATTGAATGAAATGTTAGAACATGGGATTCTGCTATGAAGCTTGTTGGAAACGGTTAGCCTAGCAGCTAATCCAATGCTAACGCAGCTAACTTTAACTAGTTAACAACAGTACCTCACGTTTTAACGTTACGCTATTTTGGGTGGTGTAGTTTGGTGGCACGCTATAGCAAAGTCGGTTGGCTTCGCTACTAAAATGCCACAATGTAGTTTACCTGTATATTGGCCAAGTAGAGATTGTAATCAGAGAGACTCGCCAAGTGGGAGATGACATAACCTGAAAGATGCCAAGGGGGAGGAAACGTTTTAATGGCACGTGCCACCAATTATCGCCTTGCCTGATTACTTTTTATATTTACAGTAGTTACAATGTATGTACCATACACCCATTACCTCTTAACTCCGGGAGATCTGTACACATTGGCGTCACCGAAGGCAAATCTGTAATCCGAAATGCCTTACCTGTCGGTACGGGCTATATGTGTGCACTGTTGTAAAACAAATAAACGTTGAAATACACATTTTCCGAAGTTTCACTCCATAGTTCACTCTACCCACATGTACATATTACTTCAACTAGCCGGTGCCCCCCCACATTGACTCTGCACCGGTACCCCCCTGTATATATAGCCTCCCTACTGTTATTTTATTTTACTTCTGCTCTTTTTTTCTCAAAACTTTTTTGTTTTATTCTACTTTTTTATTAAAAATAAATGCACTGTTGGTTAAGGGCTGTAAGCATTTCACTGTAATGTCTGCACCTGTTGTATTCGGCGCATGTGGCAAATACAATTTGGTTTGATTTAGTTGCCACACGAGATTACCACGTGATCCCAGATGGCGACGCTATTTTAGGGAGATTAGGCTAATTGGTGTGAATTCTGTAAACTCGGGGAAAGTATCATATCTTCGTTTCTTTTCACACATTGTATAGCCTGTACTGACTGGTAAGGCATTCCTGATTATAGATTTGCCTTAGATGACTTGGGAAAAGTTTCTCTGAAATAAGTCAACCAGAGGGCTGGTAAATATGTTTTCGGGGTACAGGATGTAGCCTTCAGCGACGGGATACCAATGTGTACAGGTCTCCTGGAGCGAAGAGGCTAACCATTACCCTGGTATTACCATGTTAATAAAAAATATCAAAAACATGTACCATACACAAATTAATTAATGATGTTTGGATTGTATTTACAGGATACTAGTACAGTGCACTAAAGTGACCACTGCATTAACAGCTAAACCCATGTTGTGTATCTAACCCGTTTCTCTGTCTCTCTCTCTCTGCTCTGTTAAGGGCGTCCCTGCGGCTCCTATGCACAGCAACCCAGCAGAAAAGCGGCCAGGGGTCGGAGGAGGACCAGAATGCTGAGCAGAGCGCTGCGGAGAAGGTCCTGGCCGAGGAGAAGGGCCAGCTGGAGGAGCAGCTCAAAGAGGTCACGGTGAGTCTGGCTCCAGGGTACAGGTCTAGGATCAGCTTGCCCTCCCCCAATCCTAACCTTAACCATTAGTAGCCAATGTGTTAAATCAAATCAAATATTATTTGCCACATGCGCCGAATACAACAGGTGTAGACATTACAGTGAAATGCTTACTTACAAGCCTTAACCAACAATGCTGTTTTTTTAAAGTAAAAAATGTTTAATTTATTTTAAAAAATAAAAGCAAATAGCTAAAGAGCAGCAATAAAATAACAGTAGGGAGGCTATATACAGGGGGGTACCGGTACAGAGTCAATGTGCGGGGGCACCGGCTAGTCGAGGTAATTGAGGTCATATGTACATGTGGGTAGAGTTAAAGTGACTATGCATAAATAGTAAACAGAGTAGCAGCAGCGTAAAAGATGTGGTGGGGTGGGGGGGGCAGTGCAAATAGTCAGGGTAGCCATGATTAGCTGTTCCGGAGTCTTATGGCTTGGGGGTAGAAGCTGTTGAGAAGCCTTTTGGACCTAGACTTGGCGCTCCGGTACCGCTGGCCATGCGGTAGCAGAAAGAACAGTCTGACTAGGGTGGCTTGAGTCTTTGACAATTTTTAGGGCCTTCCTCTGACACTGCCTGGTATAGAGGTCCTGGATGGCAGGAAGCTTGGCCCCAGTGATGTACTGGGCCGTACGCACTACCCTCTAGTGCCTTGTGGTCGGAGGCCGAGCAGTTGCCATACCAGGCGGTGATGCAACCAGTCAGGATGCTCTCGATGGTGCAGCTGTATAACTTTTTGAGGATCTGAGGACCCATGCCAAATCTTTTCAGTCTCCTGAGGGGGAATAGGCTTTGTGTGTTTGGACCATGATAGTTCATTGGTGATGTGGACACCAAGGAACTTGAAGCTCTCAACCTGTTCCACTACAGCCCCGTCGATGAGAATGGAGGTGTGCTCAGTCCTATTTTTTTTCCTGTTAACAATAATCTCCTTGGCTTGGTCACGTTGAGGGAGAGGTTGTTATCCTGGCACCACACGGCCAGGTCTCTGAACTCCTCCCTATAGGCTGTCTCATCGTTGTCGGTGATCAGGCCTACCACTGTTGTGTCGTCGGTAAACTTAATGATGGTATTGGAGTCGTGCCTGGCCATGCAGTCATGGGTGAACAGGGAGTACAGGAGAGGACTGAGAACGCACCCCTAAGGGGCCCCCTTGTTGAGGATCAGCGTGGCAAATGTGTTGTTACCTACCCTTACCACCTGGGGCAGCCTGTCAGGAAGTCCAGGATCCAGTTGCAGAGGTAGGTGTTTAGTCCCAGGATCCTTAGCTTAGCTCAGTTGGTAGAGCATGGCGTTTGCAATGCCAGGGTTGTGGGTTCGATTCCCACGGGGGGCCAGTATGAAATAAAAAAAAATTAAAAAGTATGCACACTAACTGTAAGTCACTCTGGATAAGAGCGTCTGCTAAATCACTAAAAATGTAAAAATGTGTTCAACGCTGAGCTGTAGTCAATGAATAGCATTCTGACGTAGGTGTTCCTCTTGTCCAGGTGAGAAAGGGCAGTGGGGAGTGCAATAGAGATTGCATCATCTGTGGATCTGTTGGGGCGGTATGCAAATTGGAGTGGGTCTAGGGTTTCTGGGATAATGGTGTTGATGTGAGCCATGACCAGCCTTTCAAAGCAGTTCATGGCTACAGACGTGAGTGCTACGGGTCGGTAGTCATTTAGGCAGGTTATTTTAGTGTTCTTGGGCACAGGGACTATGGTGGTCTGCTTGAAACATGTTGGTATTACAGACTCAGTCAGGGACATGTTGAAAATGTCAGTGAAGACACTTGCCAGTTGGTCAGCGCATGCTCAGAGTACACATCCTGGTAATCCGTCTGTCCCTGCGGCCTTGTGAATGTTGACCTGCTTAAAAGTCTTACTCACATCGGCTACGGAGAGCGTGATCACATAGTCATCCGGAATAGCTGACGCTCTCATGCATGCTTCAGTGTTGCTTGCCTTGAAGCGAGCATAGAAGTGATTTAACTCGCCTGGTAGGCTTGTCACTGGGCAGTTTGCGACTGTGCTTCCCTTTGTAGTCTGTAATAGTTTTCAAGCCCTGCCACATCCTACGAGCGTCAGAGCCGGTGTAATACGATTCAATCTTATTCCTGTATTGACTCTTTGCCTGTTTGATGGTTCGTCTTGGGGCATAGCGGGATTTCTTATAAGCTTCCGGGTTAGAGTCCCGCTCCTTGAAAGCGGCAGCTCTACCCTTTAGCTCAGTACGGATGTTGCCTGTAATCCATGGCTTCTGGTTGGGGTATGTACGTACGGTCACTGTGGGGACGACGTCATCGATGCAGTTATTGATGAAGCCAGTGACTGATGTGGTGTACTCCTCAATGCTATCTGAAGAATCCCGGAACATATTCCGGTCTGTGCTAGCAAAACAGTCCTGTAGCTTAGCATCTGCGTCATCTGACCACTTTTTTATTAACCGAGTCACTGGTGCTTCCTGCTTTAGTTTTAGTTTATAAGCTGTTTTACAGCCCTCTAACCAATTGTACTATTATGTGTTTTTTCGCGTTATTTGTAATTTATTCTGTACATAATGTTTCTGCCACCGTCTCTTATGACCAAAAAGAGCTTCTGGATATCAGGACAGCGATTACTCACGTCGTACTGGACAAAGATTCTTTCTTCAACAAGTCGGACGCGAATTATATTTTACAGACACCCGACAAGGCCCAAATCCCCGTCATTCGCATGAGAAAGAGATGGAGATATCGTGGACGTAGGATCCGACGGCGAGCGAGTAAACTGCCGCTCCCAACAATCCTATTAGCCAACGTTCAATCATTAGAAAACAAACTGGATGACCTAAGACTAAGGTTGTCCTACCAACGGGACATTTAAAAACTGTAATAGCTTATGTTTCACCGAGTCGTGGCTGAACGACGACATGGATAACATACAGCTAGCGGGCTATACGCTACATCGGCAGGATAGAACGGCTGACTCCGGTAAGACAAGGGGTGGCGGTCTGTGTATATTTGTAAACAACAGCTGGTGCATGAAATCTAATACTAAGGAAGTCTCTAGGTTTTTGCTCGCCTGAGGTAGAGTATCTCATGATAAGCAATAGACCTGGCATGCTTTCTCAGTGGTATGCTAGTGTGGACACTGGAAGGTAAACATAGACTAGTATCCTGGTTAACCTCACCCTTTCTGAATCTCACTAGTCAGAAGAGCTCTGAGAACAAGTCATCTGCTCTTGTACTCAGCTTCTCTGTCTCTGTCTACAGGACAAGTACAAGCGGGCCCTGGCAGACACGGAGAACCTCAGGATGAGGAGTCAGAAGATGGTGGAAGACACAAAGTTGTATGGTAAACTAACGTTTGCATGTTTATTTGCTTCTCACCAGAGAATCGGACCCAGTAGACAGACATACTTATAGGTGGTATTTAAAACCATCCTTTTGGTTCATTGACGTCAAGGAACATGCAGTATAAAGTTAATCTGTAGGTACAGTGAGCTCCGAAAGTATTGGGACAGTGATTTTGTTGTTGTTGTTGTTTTGGCTCTGTACTCCCAGCACTTTGGGTTTGAAATGATACAATGACTGTGAGGTTAAAGTGCAGACTGTCAGCTTTATTTTGAGGGTATTTTCATACATATCGGATGAACCGTTTAGAAATTACAGCACTTACAGTGGGGAAAAAAAGTATTTAGTCAGCCACCAATTGTGCAAGTTCTCCCACTTAAAAAGATGAGAGAGGCCTGTAATTTTCATCATAGGTACACGTCAACTATGACAGACAAATTGAGAAAATAATTTCCAGAAAATCACATTGTAGATTTTTTATGAATTTATTTGCAAATTATGGTGGAAAATAAGTATTTGGTCACCTACAAACAAGCAAGATTTCTGGCTCTCACAGACCTGTAACTTCTTCTTTAAGAGGCTCCTCTGTCCTCCACTCGGCACCTGTTTGAACTTGTTATCAGTATAAAAGACACCTGTCCACAACCTCAAACAGTCACACTCCAAACTCCACTATGGCCAAGACCAAAGAGCTGTCAAAGGACACCAGAAACAAAATTGTAGACCTGCACCAGGCTGGGAAGACTGAATCTGCAATAGGTAAGCAGCTTGGTTTGAAGAAATCAACTGTGGGAGCAATTATTAGGAAATGGAAGACATACAAGACCACTGATAATCTCCCTCGATCTGGGGCTCCACGCAAGATCTCACCCCGTGGGGTCAAAATGATCACAAGAACGGTGAGCAAAAATACCAGAACCACACGGGGGGACCTAGTGAATGACCTGCAGAGAGCTGGGACCAAAGTAACAAAGCCTACCATCAGTAACACACTACGCCGCCAGGGACTCAAATCCTGCAGTGCCAGACGTGTCCCCCTGCTTAAGCCAGTAATTGTCCAGGCCCGTCTGAAGTTTGCTAGAGTGCATTTGGATGATCCAGAAGAGGATTGGGAGAATGTCATATGGTCAGATGAAACCAAAATAGAACTTTTTGGTAAAAACTAAACTTGTCGTGTTTGGAGGACAAAGAATGCTGAGTTGCATCCAAAGAACACCATACCTACTGTGAAGCATGGGGGTGGAAACATCATGCTTTGGGGCTGTTTTTCTGCAAAGGGACCAGGACGACTGATCCGTGTAAAGGAAAGAATGAATGGGGCCATGTATCGTGAGATTTTGAGTGAAAACCTCCTTCCATCAGCAAGGGCATTGAAGATGAAACGTGGCTGGGTCTTTCAGCATGACAATGATCCCAAACACACAGCCCGGGAAACGAAGGAGTGGCTTCGTAATAAGCATTTCAAGGTCCTGGAGTGGCCTAGCCAGTCTCCAGATCTCAACCCCATAGAAAATCTTTGGAGGGAGTTGAAAGTCCGTGTTGCCCAGCGACAGCCCCAAAACGTAACTGCTCTAGAGGAGATCTGCATGGAGGAATGGGCCAAAATACCAGCAACAGTGTGTGAAAACCTTGTGAAGACTTACAGAAAACGTTTGACCTGTGTCATTGCCAACAAAGGGTATATAACAAAGTATTGAGAAACACTTGTTATTGACCAAATACTTATTTTCCACCATAATTTGCAAATAAAATCATTAAAAATCCTACAATGTGATTTTCTGTATTTTTTTTTCTCATTTTGTCTGTCATAGTTGACGTGTACCTATGATGAAAATTACAGGCCTCTCTCATCTTTTTAAGTGGGAGAACTTGCACAATTGGTGGCTGACTAAATTTTTTTCCCCCACTGTAAACACTTGTATATAGACCACCCATTTTAGGGGACAGTTTACCTATGTGTAGTAAAACATGTATTTTTTGGTCCCATATTCCCAGCACACAATGACTAAATCAAGCTTGTGACTACAAATTTGTTGGATGCGTTTGCTGTTTGTTTTGGTTGTGTTTCAGATTATTTTGTGGCCAATAGAAATTAATGGTAAATAATGTATTGTCTAATTTTGGAGTCACTTTTATTGTAAATAAGAATATAATATGCTTCTAAACACTTCTACATTAATGTGGATGCTACCATGATTACAGATAATCCTGAACTATGTACAAAAGTGCTGTAATTTCTAAACGGTTCACCCGATATGGATAAAAATACCCTCAAATGTAAAGCTGACAGTCTGCACTTTAACCTCACAGTCATTGTATCATTTCAAACCCAAAGTGCTGGGAGTACAGAGACAAATCAATGTAAAATGTGTCACTGTCCCAATACTTCTGGAGCTCACTGTATATTGCATGATGTTGTTAATTCTATGTTTTCTAACAGAATTCTAACTCATCTCTCCTTTCTTCCTACCTATCAGGAATCCAAGGGTTCTGCAAAGACCTGCTGGAGGTGGCAGACATCTTGGAGAAGGCGACAGAGAGCGTGCCCAGTGAGGAGGTGTCCTCTCAGAAGAACCCCCACCTGAAGAACCTGTACGACGGCCTGGTGATGACAGATAAACAGATCCAGAAGGTATTCACCAAGCACGGCCTGGTCAAGCTCAACCCAGACGGAGGGCAGAAGTTCAACCCCTATGAGCACGAGGCTCTATTTCACGCCCCTGTGGAGGGTAAAGAGCCCGGCACGGTCGCCATAGTAACCAAGGTGGGCTACAAGCTCCACGGGCGCACCCTCCGGCCGGCGCTGGTGGGCGTAGCCAAAGCCCCTTGAGAAAAAAAAAAAAGAGATTCCGTATGACCGTGATGATGTCGTTGTTGCCTGGGTGACAGATCAGCCTGGCTACTGCAGGCTGGTCAAAGCACCCCAACTCTCCTCCCCCCCCCCCCCCCCCCCCAACCCAACCACCTAACGTTGCCTCAGAGGTGGGAATCCAACTTCAACTGATATTATTATGGACATCATCACAGCCTGTTTTGACCTTGCATACCGATTCTCCGCCCTTCTCCGGAACTGTGCACACTCCCCGTCGTAGATTACAAAGCATTGGATTGGTGGGAGTTTTCCGGCATTGTTAAAATCCATGACAGGGAGTGAGCAAGTGTATACTTCGGGAGAAGGATGGAGAATTGGGCCACAGCCCATGTATCTGCCAGGCGCAAATATGTTTTAGCAGAAGTAACACTGTAGAGCACAGAACCAGTTTGACAAAGTCATTTCTGTCGTATTTCAGGGTCAGATTCCAGTCCATTCTTTGTCCAGTCATTGTAATTGTTTTCTCATGTTATGGATGGGAGAATGTAATGTACCTCATGATTATATACCAAACTGCTGTCATCGTTTTCATTGGACAACCATAGTAATCTCAAATAATTTAATTGAACTATTAATTTTTTCCTTATAAGTAAGATTATGTAAGGCTGTCTTTGGCGCAATTTAGCCCTGTATATTGCCGTTTTAGTATAGCTTCCAGTGACAGCTTAACATTCATTTTCATAAATAGTCTAGACAAATTTAAGTGAATGGAGGTGAAATATGAAAATGTTACTCAATTACACAAAACATTAATGCTGTATCAAAATGAATGTAAAACACTTCGGAGGCAACCACAGACCTATTGTCCAGCTGCTGCGTTGCAGTAGAGTATGGGTGTCAAAATGAAAATACGCTCTGGTGAAATCTACTACAGATTCACTGGAGATAAGCAATCATGCCGTCGAACCTCTGATGTAATCATTCCGGACTTCAAGACAGCAGAACACTGTACCTCACTGCTATGGCAGATGTCGCCCTAGTGGTGTGGGACATTGACAGGATGTAATGTCGTTAATTAGTTTTAACGATTTAGACTGGATAGTCTGTGGCCCGAGTCCCCAACAACTGGATGTTCTTGGTTTTCAGGGGAACTGGAAAGAGAGCCTGAGACATGAATTCCGCTTTTGGACGTTAACGAGAAAAGATTATACAGTATGTTTAGAAACTCTGTGTTAACCAGGAGACACTCCATAACTCCTCCTACATTAGGTTAGTGTGCCTGTGGACAGTCCTGTTGAGTGCCACAGCAGCATCTAACAAACAGATTAACAAACTCACATGTCCACTGATTTTATTGCTTTTAATTGGACTATTTCCTTGTAGGTAGGAACATAAAGTGTAGGACACTGTCAGCGATATTACCACATACTCAACTCACCGAATGCTGTAAAAATAAACCAAGGAAGCCATAAAGTATTTTCACTTTTAATACAGAACATACTAACACCCTTGAACAGTTGTTTTTTAGCCTTCAACCAGATAAGGAGATATGTAGTCTTTGATTGTAAACTACGCCGGTTGATGGGACAAAAATATACATCTTCAAGTAGGTGATGGGAGAACCAAGGGGCCTTGTCAGTGTCAGGTTTTAGATACTCTGAAACTTATGGAGAAGAAAAATATAGCGTTTTTATTTCCCCTGTAGCATTGTAAATGTACTATGATGGAATGCTAATATCAAGGCCTATACGTATGCAATCATTACATTATTTCACAGTGTCCAATGTAATACTCCAATACTGTTTCTATACAACCAACCCACATCCCTACTGAAGTTCACCTTCTCCATTTTAAACAGGCTAACTGGACATCAGAGAGAGAAGGTACCAGGGGACATTTTAAAGCACCTGTGCTTGGAACAAACACATTTTACATAATGGAAAACATCGATGTCCAATACCAACAGTGCTTTTCTGTGGCAGTTGTCCTTTCCTCTTGTACCAGAATATTTCAGCCCTTTGATATTGTGCTTGCAAGGCCATGTGTGTACACTAACCCAGTGGTTCTAAACATCAACAAAAAATGTATTTTTCCCCCATTCAGTTTCACAAACCCCACTTTGAGAACCACTGCACTAGCCTATATGAATGCTGTGACTGTAAACAAACAATGAACCAGGAAGATAGATGGAGAAAATGAAGCAGGTCTTCAAAAAAATGTGAATATGACTTCACTCCCTTTGAATAGATGGAACACTGGCAAACAAAACGCCAAGCAACGGGTCATAAGAAGACAATCATGCACCACACATTGAGGCTAAAAACAGTCTGGCAGGCCGACACAGTTAACGCCACAACACCCAAACAAAGGGCAGGCAACTTAACCAGTGATAAAATGGGGTGGTGAAAAAACTTTAAGAGATATGCAATTTTGTGATTTGTGCTTTAGGATAGCATGTCGTTGGTTAATGCCAATATTTAAAGCGTTTTCTTTTCTTCTTGCTCGCAATATTGGAAAGGTCAACATAAAGTCCAGTAGAGTGAATAGCCTACTAGAATCAGAAAACGTGCAGTGGGTGGAGTTAGGCTATGTCCCCTGCCCCTCACAGTGCCACATTCTGAGGCTGACACACCACAAGGCTATCATAATGGGGATTACCACAGTGCTTTATGAAAGCGTCAGCTGGCAAATACTGACCCCTGTATTCTTTGCAGGCCATCACTTCATGGTAAGAATATGATGATACCCCCCTGCGTTCCAACACAGTGTGACTGTATTGCTGTTTGAATAGGCACTAACCTGTGCTCTCCAAAACAACATCCTAACCTAAAGAAAGCTAGCCTGGTCCCGGATCTGTTTGTGTCGTCTTGCCAATGACCATAGGAGTTGGCAAGATGGCACCAACTGATCTGGGACCAGGCTAAAAGGAAGCTGGAGGCAAACTACACAACGATTTATACTTTGAGAACAGCTTTGAAAAACAGTGTTGTCTGGTTTGCCTAGTAGTATTAGGCGATCATTCACTGCAATAACGATAATGTATAATCTACCCATACGAATACATTATCATTCATAGGGATTCAAATGCAAAAATATATATTTGTTCCACGCTCTCCTGTAAATGGTATCCAAACTTTTTTTTTAAGAAAGGGGAAATCCTTTGCAATGTACATATTCACAAACAGTCCTGTGGTCGACGACTTGGGTCAGAACTTGACAAAAGGTGGTAAAATTCAGTAGCTTGGTCCATCTGGTGCTTAGGGACTTGCACATCTCACATTGTTTATAACAAGACACAGAGACGCAACAATCCAACGGAGAACAGAGTCATCGTCCCTCTACAATCCTTAGTCCCCACAAACTCCATACACACATTGTTAGGATGCGTCCCGGGATATCCAGCCGCTCTCTGTGAGGAAGCTGAGAATGCGTTTCTTGAGCACCTTATCTAGGTAGCTGGGCAGGCGGCTCTTGGAGGGGATGCCCTGGCTCTTCTGCAGGTGGTCCTTGATGATGATTGTCTTGACGGTCAGGTAGCGCGTGGGGCTGAGGTTGAGCGAGTTGCACAGCACCTTCTCCCGGTCCGACAGCAGCTCGAATCCCGCCAGGTTCTCTATGGCCGGGAACTCGCCATCCTTGCCCTCCTCTTTGATGACACCACCGCCCACTCCGCCACCTCCTGTCCCTCCGCCAAGCCCTCCTCCTCCTGTACTGAGCCCTCCGCCCCGGCCCGTTTTCGAGGTAGCTACGCTCTTGTTCTCCTTGCGTTTCTCCCGTTTGTGCCGCGCCGACTCGTATTCGGCCGACTCGTCCAGTCGTGTGATGCCGTTGCGGCGGCAGCGCTGCAGCTCTCGTACTTTGGCCCGCAGCACGCGCTCCTTGTGCATGTTGTCAAACAAGTCCTCAAACTCCCGCTGAGCCATGAACTGGCACATCCCCCGCAACTTGAGCCGCTGCTCCTTCTCCTCCTTGGGGATCTTACGCTTGGGAACGGTCGGGCCGGCTGGAGCTCCCGGTGTCACCACGGGAGCAGTTGGCGTCGGAAGGCTCCCCACCGCTCCGACGACGCCACTACCACCACCTACAACTCCCAGCGTGCCCGGCTTCTCCTTCTTGTCGCGGCCTAGGAAGACGGGAACCAGGTTGTAGTCACGGGCCACATTCTTGCGGCGCTGGCGCTCGCGGAGCTTGCGCACGTACATGTCCACATGCGCGCGCTTCATCTCGATCTCCACGTCTTCATCGTCGTAGTTGACCGACAGGCCGCTGATGAGCTTCTCCGCCTCCTGGTCGTACTCCATCTCGTAGTCGTCGCGGAGTGGCATGTAGCCCAGCTGCTGCTGCTCGGCCAGGGTCACGTCCAGGGGAGGCAGGGGGATGGTGAGGCTGGGGGACAGGGGGCCGCCACTGGTGCAGGTGTGGTCCGTCACCCGGTTGGGGATGCTGTCGGGGATGCAGGCCTTGCCCAGGTTGCCATGGATGTACATGCTGACGTAGTGGTCCATGACCTCCTGGGGGGTCCGAGACGCCCCTACATGAGTGGCCATGTCCTCCTGAAAGACCAGAACACACACAGGCCAGTGTTACTGGGGGGGGGGGGGGTACATCCCTGCAAGCATTTAGGCTACACAGACACACACACAATGCATGCATTGCTATACGTTCACTATTAGCATAGCCGTGTGTTGAATTCCATTGATAGGAGATCCCAACAGATCCATTGAAACTGACTAGCCAACATTACACCAAAAGTTTCCTGTATGTTCATATTGCATTGCACGTTTGCAACATCGTGGATTGTAATGTGCGTTTGCATGAAAAAGTTGCATTCATCACAACTTAGCTAGCTAGCTGTATACAGGTCTAAAGTGAATTTCAAGAATTGCATCGATATGGCCAACTCTCGACAGGACCTGGCTGTCAGTCTGAAGTTGTCAAATGTATAGGGGTCCATATTGTGTTATTTTTCACGGGAGTAACTTTACTCATTCACATGTAGTCTACATATTTTTATGCTCGTGTTTGTATTCTATAGCTATCAGAAAAGTAGGTAGGCTATAAAGTGAAATACCCAGTTTCCAAAGCCATATTGCTCGATCGCATCGAGTAGCGACTGCTCTTCCCTGCTAGTCCATCCTCCCTCCGCTTCGGGACCCCAGAGGGTGAAGCGCCCGCCGTCGACTTGCTGATAACCGTGCCATCGCCGGTGATTACCGATTTCTGCACCCGCGGAGAAGCACTCCGGACATAGTTCGATATCTGGGCAGTCAGTACAGCGAAGCCGCAGATTCGTAACGTCTGCAAGGCAGTTTACGCAATACTTCTTTCCTAGGTCGGCCATGTTGCTGGCTTCTGCTTGTTGTTGGAAGCAGCAGTGCCGCGGAGGGAGGGCTTGCGTACAGGAGTGTCTCCAGTCAGACTACTGCGTCTCATTAATATTAATGACTTTGGCGCAAACGCCTATGATTGGCTTACATGCCCAGTTTCCAGGACAACTCAAAACACGAATGGTTTCATTAACGAACAGTGACTTCTGTGTGTTAAGTTCTCATTTAGGATTTCTTGACCTCGTTTTATCCTAGAAAACACATATCTTTGTTTAATTTGATTTGCGTTTATATATTTTAATGTTGCCTTAAAACTTGGGACTTCATTGACACACTTATGTGATTTTCTAGTTTGTTTTTAGCCAGAAAAACTAAATTCCCATTCTCATGGATGGGGAGGCAGAGCAGAAACAGAAGGACCCTGGGTCCAATCCCAGCACTGAAAACACAGAGCTGAAGAACGATGAGCAACTCCTGCAGACACCAGCTGAAGAGCCCTCAGAAGAGGGCAAATCTGCTAATGCAGATGACAGCAAGAATAAAGCTGACACAGCTACAGATGAGGCTGAGGAGGGGGGAGCAGAGGAGCAGAGTGGGCAGGAGTCTGAAAAATCCTCACCAGATACTGCAGGCGAACAGGCAACAGAGGGCATCTCAGCTGAGACAGAGGGAGGGAACTCAGCCACTTCTGAGTCACCCACAGGAGCCAACCTACCCACGAGCGAGACATTCGAAGAGGGAGAGGGCCCGGAGATGAAGCCTCTAATAGGGGAGCCTCTCTCCCGCGAGGGGAGCATCACGCTCGAAGATGACGATGACAACAACGGTGATGAAGACGGACCGCCCAAACTAGACCCAGGGACTCCGGAGAGGGAGAGTTCTGTGCAGGTTGAGGAAGAGGGTCCCTCTCTAACCGAAGAGACGGGCCCCAGCATCGACTACAAAGAGTACATGAACTTCCTCAATGAGCTGCAGGCGGAGAAGGACAAACTGAGCCAGGTCAACGGTCAGCTCCAGATCAAGCTGGTGGAGTACTTCCGCAAGAAGACAGGTGATGACGCACGTCCTGAGAAGGAGAAAGCCGTGTCGGACCAGGAGCAGCGCTACCAGAAATACATGGCCATCATGGAGGAGCTGAAGTGGCAGCACCGGCTCGACTCGGAGGCAGCCCAGCAGCAGACAGAGGAGCTGAGGCAGCAGAGCCAGGAGAAGCTGGGCCAGGTGGAGGCTGAGTGGAGCGCCTTCATGGCACTAAAGCGCGACGCAGCTGTGGCGGCCCTGAGCCGGCGCCTGGGGAAACAGGCGGCGGCGGTCGAGGTGGAGCAGATCCAGGCGGCCGAGCAGCGGCGGCAGAAAGAGCTGGTCACCGTGCGCCTGGAGAACGTCAAGCTGAAGAACAAGACGCGCAAGTTTGAGGCCACGCTGCGTGCCAAGGAGATGCTCGCCGAGGGCCTGCACCTCATCGACTTCGAGCAGCTGAAGATAGAGAACCAGACGTACAATGAGAAGATTGAGGAGCGCAATGAGGAACTCCTTAAACTGCGCAAGAAGATCACCAGCACAGTCCAGGTACTAACCCATGTGAAGGAGAAGCTCCAGTTTGTGCAGATGGAGAACCAGGCCAAGCGGGCCCAGCTGGCTGAGGTGGAGGTGGTGGTGGCCAGGAAGAGGGACGTGCTGACCCGTACCAAGCAGGCAAGGGACGGTCTCCGCATGGACAACCTGAAGCTGCGCCAGCGCTGCGGCCTGCTGGGCAACGAGACCCTGTTGAGGGACTTTGAGGAGAAGGTGGACGCCTCAGACGGCCTGGAGGAGAGGCTGGAGGGGCTGAAGAGCAGGCACGCAGAGCTCATACTGAAGTGTGCCGGGATCAAGAAGAAGCTGGAGCACTCCAAACCCACAGCGCAGTGAGGAGATAAGAGGATACGCAGGAAGACACACAAACAGGATGAACAATTGATCACACATTTGTTGTCATAAGGGCACACTCATCATGCAGAATTGCTTGCATGATCATGAATGCGTAGATAATGTAGGAATTATATGTTTTTACATTCATAATAAATATTCTGTTTATTTCACGTCCTTATTGTATTATTTCTCAAAGGACTATAATAGGCTACAACCTCAGCTAGGATGTGGACAGTGTTGCAGTGAATCCTTTGTCACCTAATTAGAAAAAGACACCATTGCATCACATCAGTCAAGTCATTTTACTATCAACGTCATGACTTGTGTCATGTATGCTATTGCAATAACTTTTTCTTATAAGAGAACCAACCATTCTCTCTAATGGTCAACAGATGGCGATATTGTAAAATAGACAATTCACACCCTATGAGGGAGAGTGCTGTGAACTAGGGGAAAATCTCAATTGGTTTTGCTCGACTCCTACTGCCTCCCTCCGTCCTCTCCTCGCCTGCTTTTGAAAAAGGACAAAGGTAGTCAAGGAGCGGAGGCGAGGAGAGGAAATGTCGAAACAAATGTTCTTGTAGGAAATTAGACTCTCCTTCATCAGGCAAATGACATTTATAGGGGTGGAATCACAAAAATAAATGTGTAAAGTGATGAAGCTAGTTGTGCAAGACATGTTATAGATAAAAGATAAGTAGCATAAAAAGATAAGTTGTTTTTTAATATGTGCATGCTTTTCTCGTCGGAGTAAACAACAGCTGATTCAAATGGGTTGTGGCGGATTTCAAAACTCTTCCGCAGACGATACACAGACGATACACAGAGGATGCACTACAGTGTCCTTCGTGAGAGGAGCTATCGAGGTGCGGAGGACACTCCTCGGTCTGCCTACTAACAAATTGACACTCCTCGACCACTTATCGGTTTTCGGGTCACGGAGGGAAGAAGGACTGAGGAGTCAAGGAGAGGACAGACTTTTATCCCAATTGATAATCTCCAAAGGTCTATATGATCAGTCAGAAATCACCAACTGGTCATAGAGGAAAACCATATGTATTAAAATAAGTAGTCTGTTACTTTATTTGCTGACACGTTTTAGTTGTATTGCATTTACAACATCCTGATTATATAATAACAGTTATCATGAAGGAAATTATCATACTCAAGATTGGAGAGCAGTTTATTTGCAATGAGTTTAAGCTGTTGTTAAAATGTGAAATTCAAATTACATTTGCAATTTTCCTTTCTCTCAGTGGTTTAGTTGCCCAGATAACAGAAATCAGATGCCAAAAAAACATTTCAATTTCCTGTCAAATCAAGTACAGGCCAGGGTGGAAAGAATTAGTAATGACTGATTAAACATCTTTATCAAATAAGAAGTGTCAAACTGCTGACACATTTAGCACTTTGATAATCAGCAACATCTACTTACTAACAACTGTTAGGTCAAAGCAATACCGTGCTGAGCTTTCATGAAGTAGAACTTTTTTTCAGCCTAGCATCATTCAGGAGGATGAAATTAGTTTAACTCCCAGGAGGGGAGTCTGACTGTAACTGGATTTTCTCCAGGAATCTGCGGACCCAGGGTGCAGTGATGTCCAAGCAAATATTTTGATCTGACCTCTTCAGAGTTGCGCTGTGCATAGGACAACAGGGGATAGTAATAAGAAACAGCTATGGTAACTCAAACATTCACAACAGGAAGTGGATATTTTACCGTCAGAAGAAAATGTACGTTTCTCTATCTCTCTCTCTCTCTCTCTCTCTCTCTCTCTCTCTCTCTCGCTCTCTCTCTCTCTCTCTCTCTCTCTCTCTCTCGCTCTCTCTCTCTCTCGCTCTCTCTCTCTCTCTCTCTGTGGGTGTGGTTGTAAAGCAAAACTGTAAAAAAGTGCTGTGAAACAAAGAGTGGTGAGTAAATTATGTCCAATAATACAGTAATGTGATGTCCAATAATACAGTAATGTGATGTCCAATAATACAGTAATGTGATGTCCAATAATACAGTAATGTGATGTCCAATAATACAGTAATAAAGTACAGCAGTGAAGCTTACATAGCCTCGAAAACGTTGCAGCTTGGAGAGGGTGGGTGCAACTCTACTTTCGAGATGAGCTTTCCTATGCGTCTGGATTCCACCTGGTGGCACTTGCAGTGCAGCAGACCAAGCCTGCATGAGACAGAAACAGAAAGACACTTGATCAAATTCACTACTGATATACACTGAGTTTACAACACATTAAGAACAGCTGCTCTTTCCATGACATAGACTGACCAGGTGAATCCAGGTGAAAGCTATGATCCCTTGTTGATGTCAGTTGTTAAAACCACTTCAATCAGTGTAGATGAAGGGGAGGAGACAGGTTAAAGAATGATTTTTAAGCCTTGAGACAATTGAGACATGGATTGTGTATGTGTGCTATTCAGAGGGTGAATGGGTATGACAAAATATTTAAGTGCCTTTGAACGGGGTATGGTAGTAGGTGCCAGGCACACCGGTTTGTGTCAAGAACTGCAATGCTGCTGGGTTTTTCATGCTCAACAGTTTCTCATGTGTATCAATATTGGTCCACCAATCAAAGGACATCCAGCCAACTTGAAAAAAACTATGGGAAGCATTGGAGTCAACATGGCCCAGCATCCCTGTGGAACGCTTTCGACACCTTGTAGAATCCATGCCCCGACGAATTGTACACACGTTTAGCTTGACATTAAATATATGTTTTTACTGTAATTACTTCTTCCGGTATGAAAACAAGGATAAACATTTAGACATTTAGTTTAGTCCATGTTATTAATAGTGAAGGTTCAAAATGGCTGGAGGTAAAATAGCTATAATACTACCCACAACCCACCACAGTAAGACAGACAAACATACTGATTGACCACAGTAAACTGAGAATAACAACTGTAGTGAGTTACTCTAGTACTCCAGAGGCTCCTTTGGGTCCTAGTGAGCCTGGGGGCCCTGGGGGTCCTAGGTCTCCTGGGGGTGCTGGGGGTGCTGGGGGTCCTGGGGGTGCTGGGGGTGCTGGGGGTCCTGGGGGTGCTGGGGGTCCTGGGGGTGCTGGGGGTCCTTGTTCTATTTCACCAGTTTCAAGAAGATGGTCGAATACTTCCTCGCTTGATTCCCTTGGTGGTGTCATGCTCATTGGTTCCTCTGTCTGTGTGGTTGGGGACGAGGACACTGCAGAGGTGTTTGGGCTGGGGGTTGTGGTCCCTTCCCAGTCTGGGTCAGTTGAAAGCCTGGGGAATGGGGAAAATATCGAAATATTACGGTTTGTTACATGCTCAGTTAAAATAACCACAAGGACACAGAGGAATAGGACGTCAGATAAAGTGTGTACACCTTATCTTTAACACAACATGCAAAAACAGGAAACGAGTAAGAAAGTCCCCTCTGATCTGAGATATGACAGTTAGGGGATTTTATTAGATTAAGAAAACATCACACAAACAAGCATCAATGGAGAACCTACAAATTTAACTAAGACCTCATATCGTATTATATCTTACCCACAGACTCACCCATAGAGTGGTGCAATGAAGCTTGTGAGAGAGGTATTCACACACACCTTCCTGCCATCTACCAGTGTCTCACTAGGAGAAAATATCAGCAATGGTTAATGACTGATAGATACTGACCCTTCAACTGGCCTTTGACCATTAACACAATGTCATACACGGTTCACACACACACACACACACACACACACACACACACACACACACACACACACACACACACACACACAAACTCACATGATTTCTGTGGAGTTACACACTTCTGGTGCAGGGAACCTGTACTCTATGCTCCTGACAAGAGACCGGTGGGTTGCGCGTTCCTGCCACGTCTTGCAGAGACATCCTTCCCTCTCCACCGGCCCCAGTTGTCCAGGGCCTGGTGGGATGCCTTAACAGTAACAAAGCCAATCGGTCATTGATAAACCGTTATTTGTGATGCAACTACAGTATCACAACTACACTCTTAAAAGAAAAGGTGCATTCTAGAATCTAAAAGGTTTCTTTGGCTGTCCCCATAGGAGAACACTTTGAATAACCTTTTTTGGTTCCAGGTAGAACTCTTTTGGGTTCCATATAGAACCCTTTCCACAGAGGGTTCTATATGGAACCCAAAAGGGTTCTCCTATGGGGCCAGCCGAAGAACCCTTTTGGAACCCTTTTTTCTAAGACTGTATACATTCAGCTTGTTGAACTGACTGACATAGGTCTATAGGCTGAAATATGTAGCTTACCCATGATGTTTGCCACGACTGATGAAGAATTGACAGCCGGTTGAAGAGTGGAGTTTATATCTGATAAAAGATATTAAAGCAGGATGTGATGGACTTATTCTGTTCTCTAATCTGTATTATATTGTGATGTATGGATGAAGATGACTTGTGATGTCTTAAAGCTAGGGAGTGACCCTTGTCTTGCAGAGACACCCTTCCCTCTCTACCGGCCCCAGTTCACCACTGTTTGGTGAGAAGCCTTGACAAAGTCAATCGGTCATTGATAAACCTCTATTTGTGATGCGACTACATATGACGTGTTATTGTTGACTCACAACTCTATCACAATTCAGCATGTTGATCTGATTTACATGAACCTATAGTCTAAAATAGCGTACCCATGACCTCAGCTTCAAGTGATGGGGAACTGACAGGCAATTGAGAGGGAAGAGTTGAGTTTGCAAAATACATGACTAAAAGCTGTTATTAAAGTAGGATGCGATGGGTTGAATGTGTGTAACCTCTAATCTATACTAGTGGTATGAGGTCTTGTGCTCTATGGATGAAGATATCTTGTTATAATTCTCAAAGCTAGAGTGACGCACCTTCCTTGTCATCCGATGGTGAAGACATTGGCAGTTGTGTGCTCTCAGCTGCCTCCTTGTTGGCAACTGTTTGCCTGGGCTCTGGTTCAGGGGTTGTCCAGTGGGAATCATCAGAGATTTTCAGGCAAAACTCTCCGAACCTCACGGCCTCCAGATCTGCACTATCTGTATCTGGGCTCTCCACTGTGGTAATTACAGTATGACAGGAAGAAATATACCAATAACAACAAATATACACAACATATTCATATACTGATAATTGAGAGAATATATTTAACGCATGTGATGTCAACAAAGTCAACAGATCTAATTGAAATCAACAGTCAGTATTACGGAAAATGCGAAGTATTATTGCAAAATTCAACGACACACTATAATATCATATAACATCATTAGAAATGTAACTAATAAAGATGGTATCAACAACACATTCAAAAAACAAAGCAGTATGTCAACTTTTTTGATCCACTGAATTGTAACATTTGCTCATCTCCGATACAGCTGACATATTTGTATAAACATACTGTAGATGGTAAACTTACTAAACATAGATGGTAAACTTACTAAACATTGATGGTAAACTTACTAAACATAGATGGTAAACTTACTAAACATAGATGGTAAACTTACTAAACATAGATGGTAAACTTACTAACATAGATGGTAAACTTACTAAACATAGATAGTAAACTTACTAAACATAGACATAGATGGTAAACTTACTAAACATTGATGGTAAACTTACTAAACATAGATGGTAAACTTACTAAACATAGATGGTAAACTTACTAAACATAGATGGTAAACTTACTAAACATAGATGGTAAACTTACTAAACATAGATGGTAAACTTACTAAACATTGATGGTAAACTTACTAACATAGATGGTAAACTTACTAAACATAGATGGTAAACTTACTAAACATAGATGGTAAACTTACTAAACATAGATGGTAAACTTACTAAACATTGATGGTAAACTTACTAAAACATTGATGGTAAACTTACTAAACATTGATGGTAAACTTACTAAACATAGATGGTAAACTTACTAAACATTGATGGTAAACTTACTAAACATAGATGGTAAACTTACTAAAACATAGATGGTAAACTTACTAAACATATGATGGTAAACTTACTAAACATTGATGGTAAACTTACTAAACATAGATGGTAAACTTACTAAACATAGATGGTAAACTTACTAAACATAGATGGTAAACTTACCTAAACATAGATGGTAAACTTACCTAAACATTGATGGTAAAACTTTACTAAACACCTAGATGGTAAGACTTACTAAAATAGATTGTAAACTTACTAAACATAGATGGGTAAACTTACTAAACATGATGGTAAACTTACTAAACATTGATGTAAACTTACTAAACATAGATGGTAACTTACTAAACATAGATGGTAACACTTACTAACATAGATGGTAAACTTACTAAACTAAGATGGTAAAACTTACTAACATAGATGGTAAACTTACTAAACATAGATGGTAACTTACTAAACATAGATGGTAAACTTACTAAACATTAGATGGTAAACTTACTAACATTGATGGTAACTTACTAAACATAGATGGTAAACTTACTAAAACATAGATTGGTAAACTTACTAAACTAGATGGTAAACGTACTAAACATAGATGGTAAACTTACTAAACATAGATGGTAAACTTACTAAACATAGATGGTAAACTTACTAAACATAGATGGTAACTTACAAACACTTGATGGTAAACTTACTAAAACATAGATGGTAAACTTACTAAACATTGATGGTAAACTACTAACATAGATGGTAAACTTACTAAACATAGATGGTAAACTTACTAAACATAGATGAACTCTAAACATATAGTACTTACTTGAGCAGCTGGAGGATGGAACAGTAGAGTCACAAGGAGCACCCCGGTGACCATGAGACAACCCATCATCCACAGTCTCTCTGACTACAGCTTTATGGATAACTGTTGCTTGTCTGGATCCTTATAGTGAGTGGTCTTCTCCTGAGAGACAGATTGTAAATAGTTGTGTCTGAAGAGTGTGTGGTGTTTAATGGGCGGATCAACTCATACAACTACTAAAGTGAAGTGAGTCAGAGGTGTGTAGTATTGTGCATCTAAATGTGACACCTCCTAATGTTTCAATGATGATCCTGCAACAGTGTGTCGTACTAGGTACTTGTTCCAGCCCAGCATGAGTAGTGTGTGTTAAAGCTGGGTTAGGACCAAAGTTTGAACACACTGGGGCGCTCCAAGACCAGAGTTGTCCACACTGGGGAGCTCCAAGACCGGAGTTGGCCACACTGGGGCCTCCAAGACCAGAGATGTCCACACTGGAGCGCTCCAAGACCGGAGTTGGCCACACTGTGGCGCTCCAAGACCGGAGATGGCCACACTGGGGCGCTCCAAGACCAGAGATGGCCACACTGGGGCGCTCCAAGACCAGAGATGGCCACACTGGGGCGCTCCAAGACCAGAGATGGCCACACTGGGGCGCTCCAAGACCAGAGATGGCCACACTGGGGCGCTCCAAGACCAGAGATGGCCACACTGGGGCGCTCCAAGACCAGAGTTGGCCACACTGGAGCGCTCCAAGACCAGAGATGGCCACACTGGGGCGCTCCAAGACCAGAGATGGCCACACTGAGGCGCTCCAAGACCAGAGATGGCCACACTGGGGCGCTCCAAGACCAGAGATGGCCACACTTGCACTACAGACAAACTGTCTGAATGTCAGAGAAAATAATTATGGGTAATCAAACATCTCACAAATATAAAATAACAAAATCTGTTCTCTCTTTTAAATGCGGTTGACCCAAACAGATATAAAGATGCTGTATAATGGTCTATTACAGAATTACAATATTTATTGAAGAGAAATAGACAACAGATGGTGCTATTTGAAAGATATTGTTAAAAATGCAACCATTTCTGCTTTGAGTGTCTCAGACTGCGGAAGGGGGTGGGGTCTTAACGAGGGTAAGACACTGCTTAGTTCACATGGAGCTCGGATCGCTTTGATTGTTTGTGCGCAAAGTTATGAGCACAAAGTTACAGATTGCACCTTTAATAATGAACATTTCCATACAGAAACCACAGTCTGTTTTCATTTTCTGTTATCTTTTACCTGATAAAACCAAGATGGCCCATGGGCTGCAGGAAGCAATTGTTAACTCTTTTGATGTCTAACATTCGATCTTTGATGTCTAATATTATACTGAACAAAAATATAAATGCAACATGCAACAATTTCAAAGATTTTGCTGACTTGTAGTTCACATAAGGAAATCAGTCAATTGAAATAAATAAATTCTTCAGGCCCTAATCTATAGATTTCACATGACTAGGCAGGGTGCAGCCATGAGAGGGCCTGAGAGGGCATAGCCCAGCAACTTGGGAGCCAGGCCCAGACAATCAGAATGAATTTTACCCCATAAAAGGGTTTTATTACAGACAGAAATACTCCTCAGCACCCCGCGTCCACTCCCCTCAGAAATCCCGCTGGTGAAGAAGCCGGATGTGGAGGTCCTGGGCTGGCGTGGTTACACGTGGTCTGCGGTTGTGAGGCCGGTTGGACACAAGGAGAGGACACGAGGAGGAGACACAACGAGAGGACAGATATTTAGGCATTTGAGAAAGAGCCCCTCTTTAACAGTGATGTGTCTCCTCCGCAGCCAATGGCCAGTGGTTTAACTTTGATATGTCTCTTTTTAACGGCGGAGCCCGGAGAAAGCACGAGGCTAGCTAGCTAGCGGGTAGCTACTGGTAACGTTTAACAACGGTGGAGAGTTGTTTCCAATGTTAATGTGCTAGCTAGCCAACGTTTAATTTTTGCTGCGTTATGAAAGGAACTAGACACGGACACGAATTATCTGTTTAGTGTGTTAACACACTATTGGTAGTTTGTTGTAACCAAGTATTGGTGCTAAACTGTGTGTTATTGGATGCTAGCATGCTAGTTAGCTATGGCGTCATAGTTAGGCATCGTGGGCTGTTGTGGGTAGTTACTGTAGGTTAGCATTGTTTTTTCGGCGGTGCCGGGTCTAGCACGAAGCTAGCTAGCTAGCCGTTCTTCAACAAAGTCAACACAGTGGGCCATTGCTAGCTAGCCAACACGACAGCTAACTGTACTGTAGTAAGCTAAATACAATAACTTATGCTAGCTAGCAACGTTTAATTATTGCTGCGTTATGAAAGGAACTAGACACGGACACGAATGATCATGTTTAGTGTGTTAACACACTATTGGTAGTCTGTTGTAACCAAGTATTGGTGCTAAAACTGTGTGTTATTGGATGCTAGCATGCTAGTTAGCTATGGTGTCATAGTTTAGGCATCGTGGGCTGTTGTGGGTAGTTACTGTTAGGTTGGCATTGTCTTCGGTGTACCACGAAGCTAGCTAGCTAGCCGTTTTTCGAACAGAGTCAACACAGTAGCCATTGTGTGCTGTACTGTGGCAGCTAAATACAATATATTTGTGCTAAGCTAGCCAACGTTTAATTATTGCTGCGTTATGAAAGGAACTAGACACGGACATGAATTATCGGCTTAGTGTGTTAACACACTATTGGTGGTTTGTTGTGACCAGTGTTGGTGCTAAACTTGTGTTATTGGATGCTAGCATGCTAGTTAGCTATGGTGTCATAGTTTAGCTAGCTGAATAAAGTGGGTTGAGTCTACTCCTTTAAAACATTGAACCGCTGTGGTTCACAACAATTCTGATTTCTAAAGGTGGAAGTTGGGGAGAGTTTTTGTTCGGGTGGTTCAGTGAAACAATTATAGTTTCTGAGGTGGAAGTTTTTGGTGAGGGAGGCCCTGCTCTCTCTTCTTCCAGATGTTTAGTTCATTTCATTCCGATCTCCTCTGCATTATTGTAGCCATTTGCTACAGCCTGTCAACTATGCCTCTGCCTATCCCTGTTCTCTCCTCTCTACACAGGCTACACAAACGCCTCACAACGCGTGGCTGCTGCCTCTCTAACCTGGTGGTCCCTGCACGCACCCCACACCTGGAGTTCCAGGTCTCAGGCAGCCTCTGGAACTGCCGTTCTGCTGCCAACAAAGCTGACTTCATCCCAGCCTATGCTAACTCCAGTCCCTCGACTTCCTGGCGCTGACGGAAACATGGATTACCACTGAAAACACTGCTACTCCTACTGCTCTCTCCTCGTCTGACCATGTGTTCTCGCATACCCCGAGAGCATCTGGTCAGAGGGGTGGTGGCACAGGAATCCTCATCTCTCCCAAGTGGACATTCTCAATTTTTCCCCTAACCCACCTGTCTATCTCCTCATTTGAATTCCATGCTGTCACAGTCACTAGCCCATTTAAGCTTAATATCCTTGTCATCTATCGCCCTCCAGGTTCCCTTGGAGAGTTTCATCAATGAGCTTGACGCCTTGATAAGTTCCTTTCCTGAGGATGGCTCACCCCTCACAGTTTTGGGGGATTTCAACCTCCCTATGTCCACATTTGACTAATTTCTCTCTGCCTCCTTCTTTCCACTCCTCTCCTCTTTTGACCTCACCCTCTCACCGTCCCCCCCTTCTCACAAGGCAGGCAATACGCTTGACCTTATCTTTACTAGATGCTGCTCTTCTACTAATCTCATTGCAACTCCCCTCCATGTCTCCGACCACTACTTTGTTTCCTTTTCTCTCTCGCTCTCCTCCAACACTACTCACTCTGCCCCTACACAGATGGTAATGCGGCCGCCGCAACCTTCGCTCTCTCTCTCCCACTACTCTCTCCTCTTCCATCCTATCATCTCTTCCCTCTGCTCAATCCTTCTCCCTCCAATCTCCTGATTCTGCCTCCTCAACCCTCCTCTCCTCCCTTTCTGCATCCTTTGACTCTCTGTGTCCCCTATCCTCCCGGCCGGCTCGGTCCTCCCCTCCAGCTCCGTGGCTTGATGACTCATTGCGAGCTCACAGAACAGAGCTCCGGGCAGCGGAGCGGAAATGGAAGAAAACTAAACTCCCTGCCGACCTGGCATCTTTTCACTCCCTCCTCTCTACATTTTCTTCATCTGTTTCTGCTGCTAAGGCCACTTTCTACCACTCTAAATTCCAAGCATCTACCTCTAACCCTAGGAAGCTCTTTGCCACATTTTCCTCCCTCCTGAATCCTCCCCCCCCTCCCCCCCCCCTCCTCTCTCTCTGTGGATGACTTCGTCAACCACTTTGAAAAGAAGGTTGACGACATCCGATCCTCGTTTGTTAAGTCTAATGACACTGCTGGTCCTACTCACACTGCCCTACCCTATGCTTTGACTTCTTTCTCCCCTCTCTATCTAGATAAAATCCTGCGACTTGTGACTGCAGGCCGCCCAACAACCTGCCCGTTTGACCCCATCCCCTCCTCTCTTCTCCAGACCATCTCCGGTGACCTTCTCCCCTACCTCACCTCGCTGATCAACTCATCCTTGACCGCTGGCCATGTCCCTTCCGTCTTCAAGAGAGCGAGAGTTGCTCCCCTTCTCAAAAAACCAACACTCGATCCCACTGATGTCAACAACTACAGACCAGTATCCCTTCTTTCTTTTCTTTCCAAAACTATTGAGCGTGCCGTCTTTAGCCAACTCTCTTGCTATCTCTCTCAGAATGACCTTCTTGATCCAAACCAGTCAGGTTTCAGGACTGGTCATTCAACTGAGACTGCTCTTCTCTGTGTCACGGAGGCTCTCCGCACTGCTAAAGCTAACTCTCTCTCCTCTGCTCTTGTCCTTCTAGACCTGTCTGCTGCCTTTGATACTGTGAACCATCAGATCCTCCTCTCCACCCTCTCCGAGCTGGGCATCTCCGGCGCGGCTCACTCCTGGATTGCGTCCTACCTGACCGGTCGCTCCTACCAAGTGGCGTGGCGAGAAGCTGTCTCCGCACCACGTGCTCTCACCACTGGTGTCCCCCAGGGCTCAGTTCTAGGCCCTCTCCTTTTCTCCCTATACACCAAGTCACTTGGCTCTGTCATATCCTCACATGGCCTCTCCTATCATTGCTACGCTGACGATACACAACTAATCTTCTCCTTTCCCCCTTCTGATAACCAGGTGGCGAATCGCATCTCTGCATGTCTGGCAGACATATCAGTATGGATGACGGATCACCACCTCAAGCTGAACCCTGGCAAGACGGAGCTGCTCTTCCTCCCGGGGAAGGACTGCCCGTTCCATGATCTCACCATCACGGTTGACAACTCCGTTGTGTCCTCCTCCCAGAGTGCGAAGAGCCTTGGCGTGACCCTGGACAACAACCTGTCGTTCTCCGCTAACATCAAGGCGGTGACCCGATCCTGTAGGTTCATGCTCTACAACATTCGGAGAGTACGACCCTGCCTTACACAGGAAGCGGCACAGGTCCTAATCCAGGCACTTGTCATCTCCCGTCTGGATTACTGCAACTCGCTGTTGGCTGGGCTCCCGGCCTGTGCCATTAAACCCCTACAACTCATCCAGAATGCCGCAGCCCGTCTGGTGTTCAACCTTCCCAAGTTCTCTCACGTCACCCCGCTCCCTCCGCACACTCCACTGGCTTCCAGTTGAAGCTCGCATCTGCTACAAGACCATGGTGCTTGCCTACGGAGCTGTGAGGGGAACGGCACCTCCGTACCTTCAGGCTCTGATCAGTCCCTACACCCAAACGAGGGCACTGCGTTCATCCACCTCTGGCCTGCTGGCTCCCCTACCTCTGCGGAAGCATAGTTTCCCGCTCAGCCCAGTCAAAACTGTTCGCTGCTCTGGCACCCCAATGGTGGAACAAGCTCCCTCACGACGCCAGGACAGCGGAGTCACTCACCACCTTCCGGAGACATTTGAAACCCCACCTCTTTAAGGAATACCTGGGATAGGATAAAGTAATCCTTCTAACCCCCCCCCTTTACTCCAATACACCCCAACCCCCCCCCCCCCCCCCCCCCCCCCCCCCAAAAAAAAAAAAAAAAAAAAAAAAAAAAACATTGTAAAGTGGTTATCCCACTGGCTATAAGGTGAATGCAACTATTTGTAAGTCGCTCTGGATAAGAGTGTCTGCTAAATGACGTAAATGTAATGTAAATGTAAGGAAGAGGACACTCAATACTGAAACTCCTGCAATAGGGAAGAGGACATTGTGACAGATTACGATACAGTATACCAATATACTTCAGAATGATTTAATTACATAGCACTGTAAACTCTATTATTCAGAAATAATATATCTACTGATGTTTTCTCATACAAATAAAAGATATTCCCAGTTATATTAGCGTTTTATGTATATTGTGGAGGGTGCCATACCGAAGCAGTAGATATCGTTTCAAGAGTTCAAATTGTGTCATGCAGGTCATCTGTATGTTATTGTTTTAAATTAGAAAAATAAACAAGCATTTTCATTTTAAAACTGGTTAAAATGTGATCTTTAAAATGTTTTATCAGAGACTACCTCTACACCTTCAGACATTTTGTTTAATGTACTGATAACCAACGCCTGATTACAGACCAATTGTTCATTAATGGTGTAGATAAACTTTTGTTGACTTTTTGGTCAGTCAATATTGTATGTATCGTCTGGGACATTAACCTTTTTCTTCATATATTGCTGTGTTGTTGTTGAACGCTGATATCAAATAACTTTGGCAATTGCAAGCTAATCTACTTTCCAAATGGAAACGTGACATTTTGATAAGATCCACTTCAATCAGCGCAGGTGAAGGGGAGAAGACTGGTTAAAGCAGGATTTTTAAGCCTTGAGACAAATGAGACATGGATTGTGTATGTGTTCCATTCTAAGGGTGCATGGGCAAGACTAAATATTTAACTCTATATTAGGTAGGTGTTCCTAATGTTTTGTGCACTCGGTGTAAATGCCGTTCCACAGACCTTTAAACCAGATGTTGCCGTGGTAATTTATGGCTGGGGTCATTATTATTTTTTGTTGTTGTTCTCTAATTAGCATTTTAGAGTTTTTCAATTGTGTAGAAATGCAGTAAATGAGCTTAAACTTCCAAAAAATGTCCCCCTCCCCCCCACACCCCCACTTTGACATACCCTAGGTTTAGCTGAACTGATGCCACCGTGGCACAGACTAGTATCCAGCTATATTTTGTTTCCCAAGGTTAGATAATGACACACTGTTCATTAACATTGTTCCAAATCATATTCACTTTTGCTACATAGGCGTTTTATATTTGTAACCACATCACACTTTTCTTATCTGAAGTTGTGTTATCAACTGTGTTCCAAATGGCACTATATTCCCTATTTAGTGCACTACTTTTGGCTAGAGGCATATGGGCCCTGTTCAAAAGTAGTGCACTATATTGGGGATAGGGTGCCATTTTGGGACACTCCGATTGCGTGATATTGTGTGTTAAAGGAGGGCATGGCATGACATGGTCATATGGCTGTGGATTGGGTCCTGGTGTACAGGATAACTGTATATAAGGCCTGGGTTCTCCTACTCTAACTTCACTCACTGAGTCCAAGAAGAACCAGAAGCACCCATGATGAAGTGGGCTGTCGTCCTGTGTGCCCTAGTGGTCCTCTCCGAGTGTAATACCAAGTAAGTCCCAGTCCTGTTCTACTCTTCTTTTTTATTTTATTTTCTGTCTGAATATTCTGTTTATTGTTGTCAGCACCATTTCACCAGGTCAAATTCCTGGTACATGTAATTGGCGAATAAAGGTGATTGTGATTGTGTGTTTTTAGGATCTCTCTGATCAAGGGGAAGACTGCCAGAGAGACCCTGATGGAGAAGGGTATATGGGAGGAGACCAGGCTGAAGTTCCCCTACAACCCTATGGCCAAGTTCTACCAGACCGGTGATGAGGCTATGACCAACGACGCTGATGTAAGGCAGAGACAGAAGCAATATGATGATATACTGTATTAGCCTGGTGACTGATCCCAGATCTGTTTTTGCTGTATAGTCAATGACCAAGGGAGTTGTCTACAGTGAATTCGGAACGGAAAGTATTCAGACCCCTTGACTTTTTCCACAATTTATGACGTTACAAGCCTTATTCTAAAATTGCTTAAATAAGAATTGTCCCCATAATGACAAAGCGAAAACGTTTTTATTTTATTTTGCAAATGTATATATATATATATATATATATATATATATATATATATATATAGATATATATATATATATATATATAAAACATTTCTCTTCTAATCCCTTATATAGATAAGTATTCAGACCCTTTGCTAAGAGACTTGAAATTGAGCTCAGGTGCATCCTGTTTCCATTGATCATCCTTGAGATATTTCTACAACATGATTGGAGTCCACCTGTGGTAAATTAAATTGATTGGAAAGGTACACACCTGTCCATATAACATCCCACAGTTGACAGTGCATGTCAGAGCAAAAACCAAGCCATGAGTTCAAAGGAATTATCCGTAGAGCTCCGAGACAGGATTGTGTCGAGGCACAGATCTGGGTAACGGTACCAAAACATTTCTGCAGCATTGAAGGTCCCCAAGAACACAGTGGTCTCCATCATTCTGAAATGGAAGCCGTTTGGAAACACCAACACTCTTCCTAGAGCTGGCCGCCAGGCCAAACTGAGCAATTGGGGAGAAGGGCCTTGGTCAGGGAGGTGACCAAAAACCTGATGGTCACTCTGACAGAGCCAATCAGGCCTTTAGGGTAGAGTGTCCAGACGGAAGACACTCCTCAGTAAAATGAACATGACAGCCTGCTTGGAGTTTGCCAAAGGCATCTAAAGACTATCAGACCATGAGAAACAAGATTCTCTGGTCTGATGAAACCAAGACTGGACTCTTTGGCCTGAATGCCAAACGTCACGTCTTGGAGGAAACCTGGCACCATCCAAATGCACTGTATACAACACAAACAGACCTGGGACCAGGCTAGTCTATAGACTATATGATTATTGTTTCAAAAATGTCATTACATGTTGGATATTGTGACTGCATAGTTTGAACCCATTGACTCTACAGTTTGTGTTCATGTCTTGCTTAAATTGAATGTTCACTGGCATGATCAAATTAATTATGAGCTTAGAGTTGAGCATATAGCCATGCTTCTTGACATGTAACTAGCTACATAGTTAGACAAATGCCTGTTTCTTCATAGTACTCTGACATGTTCACTTGTTTGACCCTGACTTACAGTACATCTCTGTTTCAACGTCTCTCTGCAGTTGTCCTACTATGGTGTGATCTCCATTGGAACCCCTCCCCAGTCCTTCAACGTCATCTTTGACACTGGCTCCTCCAACCTGTGGGTTCCCTCCACCTACTGCTCCAGCCAGGCCTGCCGTGAGTATATTGTAGGGGTCTGGAAAATACTGTTGGCGTTGGAGAATAGCTATATTTCAAATTGTTTCTGAGTAGTCTCTTGTGACAGAGTTGCAAAAAACTGTTTCATATTGAGTACCTAGCCAGAGAATGGGAGACTTGGTTGTGGGTTGAGGTTAGGGGCTGATGGGAGCACCTTGAGATTTACAGCATAAAGGGGTTCGCTCAACACAATGAAACAATAGAATAGGAGGAATGTATTTTTGTATTGTCCCATTTAGAGCGTGGATTGTGGAAAATAGCTCAATACCAACGAAGAAATGAATGTTCAGTTTTGCAATGGCATGGTTTGTACCTAACGAAGATGTTCATGTTTTGAATAGAGAACCATGCCGAATTCAACCCTGCACAGTCTAGCACCTTCTCATGGGCCAACAAGCCTGTTTCCATTCAGTACGGAACTGGCAGCATGACTGGACAGCTGGCATACGACACTGTTTCAGTATGTAAATGTAGCTAGCTACACATTATTGTGATACATTTTTAATTGACACTTTCAAATACAACATACTGTACATTACATACATTACAACCCCCAAATAATATTCCACTCAACACCCGTCCTCCCCTAACGGTCCCATTTTATAACATCACATGCTATAAACAATACCCAAGCATATTAGTAACTGACTCCAGTAGATTCAGCAAAGAAATATAATTACTATTTTGGGTACACTCAATATGGCCTCCGGTCCACACATCACCAAAAAACTGACTTGAATGGGAAAACCCATTCTAGTAATTCTATTTCTATGGTGCCCAGTGACTGATGCCTGCTGTTCTGTGTTTTCAGGTGGGAGGTATCTCTGTTACTCAGCAGATCTTTGGTGCCAGTCAGACCGAGGCTCCCTTCATGGCCAACATGGTTGCCGACGGTATCCTGGGCCTGGCTTTCCCCAACCTGGCAGCCTCTGGGGCCACACCCGTCTTTGACAACATGATGACCCAGGGCCTGGTGTCCCAGAACCTCTTCTCTGTCTACCTGAGCGGGTAACATAGTAACTGTACAAATACACCTGGATGGGAGGTGGCATTTTCTCTTAGTTGTGATATTAATAAATCAAATCAAATCAAATCAAATCAAATTTTATTGGTCACATGCGCCGAATACAACAGGTGCAGACATTACAGTGAAATGCTTACTTACAGCCCTTAACCAACAGTGCATTTATTTTAAACAAAAAAGTAAGAATAAAACAACAACAAAAAAGTGTTGAGAAAAAAAGAGCAGAAGTAAAAATAAAGTGACAGTAGGGAGGCTATATATACAATAGAATAAAGTGACAGTAGGGAGGCTATATATACAGGGGGGTACCGTTGCATAGTCAATGTGCGGGGGCACCGGCTAGTTGAGGTAGTTGAGGTAATATGTACATGTGGGTAGAGTTAAAGTGACTATGCATAAATACTTAACAGAGTAGCAGCAGCGTAAAAAGTATGGGGTGGGGGGGCAGTGCAAATAGTCCGGGTAGCCATGATTAGCTGTTCAGGAGTCTTATGGCTTGGGGGTAGAAGCTGTTGAGAAGTCTTTTGGACCTAGACTTGGCACTCCGGTACCGCTTGCCGTGCGGTAGCAGAGAGAACAGTCTATGACTAGGGTGACTGGAGTCTTTGACAATTTTGAGGGCCTTCCTCTGACACCGCCTGGTATAGAGGTCCTGGATGGCAGGGAGCTTTGCCCCTGTGATGTACTGGGCCGTACGCACTACCCTCTGTAGTGCCTTGCGGTCAGAGGCCAAGCAGTTGCCATACCAGGCGGTGATGCAACCAGTCAGGATGCTCTCGATGGTGCAGCTGTAGAATTTTTTGAGGATCTGAGGACCCATGCCAAATCTTTTTAGTCTCCTGAGGGGGAATAGGCTTTGTCGTGCCCTCTTCACGACTGTCTTGGTGTGTTTGGACCATGATAGTTCGTTGGTGATGTGGACACCAAGGAACTTGAAGCTCTCAACCTGTTCCACTACAGCCCCGTCGATGAGAATGGGGGCGTGCTCAGTCCTCTTTTTTTTCCTGTAGTCCCACAATCATCTCCTTTGTCTTGGTCACGTTGAGGGAGAGGTTGTTGTCCTGGCACCACACGGCCAGATCTCTGACCTCCTCCCTATAGGCTGTCTCATCGTTGTCGGTGATCAGGCCTACCACTGTTGTGTCGTCGGCAAACTTAATGATGGTGTTGGAGTCGTGCCTGGCCATGCAGTCATGGGTGAACAGAGAGTACAGGAGGGGACTGAGCACGCACCCCTGAGGGGCCCCCGTGTTGAGGATCAGTGTGGCAGATGTGTTGTTACCTACCCTTACCACCTGGGGGCGGCCCGTCAGGAAGTCCAGGATCCAGTTGCAGAGGGAGGTGTTTAGTCCCAGGATCCTTAGCTTAGTGATGAGCTTTGAGGGCACTATGGTGTTGAATGCTGAGCTGTAGTCAATGAATAGCATTCTCACGTAGGTGTTCCTCTTGTCCAGGTGGGAAAGGGCAGTGTGGAGTGCGATAGAGATTGCATCATCTGTGGATCTGTTGGGGCGGTATGCAAATTGGAGTGGGTCTAGGGTTTCTGGGATTATGCTGTTGATGTGAGCCATGACCAGTCTTTCAAAGCACTTCATGGCTACAGACGTCAGTGCCACGGGTCGGTAGTCATTTAGGCAGGTTATCTTAGAGTTCTTGGGCACGGGGACTATGGTGGTCTGCTTGAAACATGTTGGTATTACAGACTCAGTCAGGGACATGTTGAAAATGTCAGTGAAGACACTTGCCAGTTGGTCAGCACATGCTCGGAGTACACGTCCTGGTAATCCGTCTGGCCCTGCGGCCTTGTGAATGTTGACCTGCTTAAAAGTCTTACTCACATCGGCTACGGAGAGCGTGATCACATAGTCGTCCGGAACAGCTGGTGCTCTCATGCATGCTTCAGTGTTGCTTGCCTCGAAGCGAGCATAGAAGTGGGTTTAGCTCGTCTGGTAGGCTTGTGTCACTGGGCAGCTCGCGGCTGTGCTTCCCTTTGTAGTCTGTAATAGTTTTCAAGCCCTGCCACATCCGACGAGCGTCAGAGCCAGTGTAGTATGATTCAATCTTAGACCTGTATTGACTCTTTGCCTGTTTGATGGTTCGTCGGAGGTCATAGCGGGATTTCTTATAAGCGTCCGGGTTAGAGTCCCGTTCCTTGAAAGCGGCAGCTCTACCCTTTAGCTCAGTGCGGATGTTTCCTGTAATCCATGGCTTCTGGTTGGGGTATGTACGTACGGTCACTGTGGGGACGACATCATCGATGCACTTATTGATGAAGCCAGTGACTGATGTGGTGTACTCCTCAATGCTGTCTGAAGAATCCCGGAACATGTTCCAGTCTGTGCTAGCAAAACAGTCCTGTAGCTTAGCATCTGCGTCATCTGACCACTTTTTTATTAGCCGAATCACTGGTGCTTCCTGCTTCAGTTTTTGCTTATAAGCAGGAATCAGGAGGATAGAGTTATGGTCAGATTTGCCAAATGGAGGGCGAGGGAGAGCTTTGTATGCGTCTCTGTGTGTGGAGTAAAGGTGGTCTAGAGTTTTTTCCCCTCTGGTTGCACATTTAACATGCTGGTAGAAATTAGGTAGAACGGATTTAAGTTTCCCTGCATTAAAGTCCCCTGCTACTAGGAGCGCTGCATCTGGATGAGCGTTTTCCTGTTGATTAATGGCCTTGTACAACTCATTCAGTGCAATCTTAATGCCAGCATTGGTTTGTGGTGGTAAATAGACAGCTATGAAAAATATAGATGAAAACTCTCTTGGTAAATAGTGTGGTCTACAGCTTATCATAAGATACTCTACCTCAGGCGAGCAAAACCTTGAGACTTCCTTAGTATTTGATTTTGTGCACCAGCTGTTGTTTACAAATATACAGAGACCGCCACCCCTCGTCTTACCCGAGTCTGCCGTTCTGTCCTGCCGATGTAGCGTATAGCCTGCTAGCTGAATGTTATCATTGTCGTCGTTCAGCCACGACTCCGTGAAACATAAGATATTACAGTTTTTAATGTCCCGTTGGTAAGGATAACCGTAATCTTAAATCGTCCATTTTATTCTCCAAAGCTTGAACGTTGGCTAATAGGATTGATGGGAGAGGCAGTTTACCTCGTTCGCCGTCGGATCCTTACAAGGCACCCGGATCTGGCTTCCACGATATCTCCGTCTCCTTCCCTCACGCGAATGACGGGGATCTGGGCCTTGTCGGGAGTCTGTAGAATATCCTTCGCGAACGCCTCGTTGAAGAAAAAGTGTTCGTCCAACGCGAGGTGAGTAATCGCTGTCCTGATATCCAGAAGCTCTCTTTGGTTATAAGAGACGATGGCAAAACATTATGTACAAAAATAAATTACAAATAACGCGGAAAAAACACACATAATAGTACAATTGGTTAGAGGGCTGTAAAACGGCAGCCATCTTCTTGTACCAGTGTACCAGTGATTTTATATTAAATACAATTATCAACTGCTTTAATTGTCTTTGAAGGAGAGGTGACATCCATTTCAAAATGTGTTGATGATTAAACAACCTTGTTGACCTTTTCTCCTCCTCCATAGAAACTCCAGCAGAGGGTAGTGGTGGTGTCATTCGGTGACATCGAGTCTAACTACTACACCGTACAGATCACCTGGATCCCCCTGTCCTCCAGACCTACTGGCAGATAAACATGGACAGGTAGGTACACTATCCACACGAGCCATATCCTGGTCCATATCCATACCAATAATCATGTATCATCCCTTCATGCCATTACCCAGAACACATTGGAACAGTTACATAAAATGAACCATGCCCACTTCCGGTCTGGAGCCTATGACAAAATCTTGCTGTGCACTTCGCAAGTTCATGTTTATTTGCTACACAACAAAAACCCAACAGCACGAAATATACATACAACCAAAAGACAGGTAAACTCAGCTAATATTTGTCCTTCAGTGTTACCATCAACGGCAACACAGTGCTTGCAATGGTGGCTGTCAGGCTATCATAGATAAATGGACCTCCCTGATCGTGGGCCACCAGGACTCACAAAATGAAAATGGGTCGGAGCACCACTGACCAGTATGGAGATGTGAGTCACACCACAATACTAGCGCAAGATTTTTTTAAAAAAAAAAAGGGGGGGGGAAAAAAAAAAAAACAAAAAAAAAAAAAAAAAAAAAAAAAAAAAAAAAAAACCCCCAAAAAAAAAAAAAAAAAAAAAAAAAAAAAAAAAAGGGGGGGGAAAAAAAAAAAAACCCCCCCCGGGGGGGGGGAAAAAAAAAAAAAAAAAAAAAGGGGGGGGGGTTTTTTTTTTTTTTTTTTTTAAAATTTAAAACCCCCCCGGTTTTTTTTTTTTAAAAAAAAACCCCCCCCCGGGGGTTCCCCCCCGGGGGGGTTTTTTAAAAAACCCCTTTTGGTTTTTTTCCCTTTAAAAAACCCCCCAAAAATTTTTTTTTTGGGGGGGGGGTTTTTTTCCCCGGGGGGGGGGGGGGGCCCCCTTGGCCCCCGGGCCTGGGGAAAAAAAGGGGGGGGCCCCCACCCCCCCAAAAAAACCTTTTAAAATTTTTTTTTGGGGGGGCCCCCCTTCCTTTTCCAAAAAAAAAAATTTTAAAATTTTTTTTTTTGCCCCGGGGGGGGGAAAAGGGGGAAAAAATTTTTTTTTTCCCCCCAAAAAAAAAACCCCCCCCCAAAAAAAATAAAAAAAAAAAAAAAGGTCCCCCGGGTTTTTTTCCCCCTTTTCAAAAAAAAGGGGGGGTTTTTAAATTTTTTTAAAAAAAAAAACCCCCCCGGCCCGGGGCCAACCCAAAAGGGGTTCCCCAAAAAATTTTTGGGGGGGGAAAAAAAAAAAGGGGGGTTTTTTCCCCAAAAAAAAAAAAAAAAGGCCCCCCCCAAAAAAAACCCCCCCCCAAAAAAAACCCCCCAAAAAAGGGGGTCCCCCCTTTTTTGGGAAAAAAAAAAAAGAAAAAGGGGGGGGGGAAAAAAAAGCAGCACCTGGCACACCCGTTTTGACAACATGTGACAGGGCTGGTGCAGACCTTCTCTCTACGACGTAACATCGGTACACACCGATGGACGGTCATTTCCTAGTGTACCAGTGATTTTATATTAAAACAATTATACAACTGCTTTAATTGTCTTTGAAGGAGAGGTGACATCCATTTCAAAAGTGTTGATGATTAACACAACCTTGTTGACCTTTTCTCCTCCTCCAATAGAAACTCAGCAGAGGTAGTGTGGTGTCATTCGGTGACATCGAGTCTAACTATACACCGGACAGATCACCTGGATCCCCCTGTCCTCCGAGACCTACTGGCAGATTAAACATGGACAGGTAGGTACACTAGTCCACACAGAGCCCATATCCTGGTCCGTATCCATACCAATATTCAGTATCATCCCTTCATGACCATTACCCCCAGAACACATGGAACAGTACATTAAAATGAACATGCCTACTTCCAGTCTGAAGCCTATGACAAAATCTTGCCTGGGCACTTAGCAAGTTCATGTTTATGTGCTCATAACAAAAACCCAAACAGCAAGAAATATACATCAACCAAAATATAGGAAGAACATGTAAACTCAGCTAATATTTTGTCCTTCCAGTGTTTACCATCAACGGCAACACAGTGGCTTGCAATGGTGGCTGTCAGGCTATCATAGATACTGGTACCTCCCAGATCGTCGGGCAACCAGTGACAATCAACAACATGAACAGCTGGGTCGGAGCCACCACGACCAGTATGGAGATGTGAGTCACACACACACTGACTGGTACAGACATGTTCAACTATAAGGCTTTTCACACTACTGAGCGGAACCAAGCCAGCCAAACAATCTGCACTAAGCTGCCTGGTCTTGTTAGTTGTTGGAACGAACGTGTTAAAAAGAAACAGTGGGAAGAGCAAATATCTGAACCTATTGTGGTTGGGGCGGCATGGTTGTGTGAAAAGGGTATACATCTGTTCTCATTGTTGTTTTTTCCCTCAATCACTGCCTCCCCTTTGATCAATGTATGCACTCACTAACTGTAAGTCGCTCTGGATAAGAGTGTCTTCTAAATGACTAAAATGTCAAATGTAATCAACCACAGAATAAACTAGAACATTTTTATTCCCTCTCCTAGGCCACCGTGAACTGCAACAACATTCCCAGCATGCCCGAGGGGACCTTCACCCTCAACGGAAACGCCTTCACCATCTCTGCCTCCGCCTACACCTCCCAGGTAGTCTACTGAAATACATGTTGTTACATATAACCTATGACCTCCCAGGTAGTCTACTAAAATACATGTTGATACATACAACCTATGACCTCCCAGGTAGTCTACTGAAATACATGTTGTTACATACAACCTATGACCTCCCAGGTAGTCTACTGAAATACATGTTGTTACAGATAACCTATGACCTCCCAGGTAGTCTACTGAAATACATGTTGTTACATATAACCTATGACCTCCCAGGTAGTCTACTGAAATACATGTTGTTACATATAACCTATGGACCTCCCAGGGTAGTCTACTAAAAGACATGTTGTTTGACATACACCTATGACCTCCCAGGTAGTCTACTAAAATACATGTTGATACATACAACCTATCTGCCCTATCTGATCTGTAATGCTGATGTGTTTCAGAGCAAGCTCCTTCATCAGAGCACCTGTACATCTGAGACTTGACCTTTCTTTTAGATCCTAGGAGCAAAGGGCCTCATATGCCTGATTTTCTTCCTCTTCCTCTCTCTATCTCTGTAGAATTCCAACGGCTGCATGACTGGTTTTGGAAATGGTGGAACTCAGCAGCTCTGGATCCTTGGAGATGTCTTCATCAGGCAATACTATGCCATCTTTGACAGGCAGAACAACAGTGTCGGTCTGGCCCAGGCTGCGTAAGATATCCACTGAGAGATCCACTAGATCTACAGAGATCCACTGATCCCAAAGATCCTTAAGGGCTAGATGTAATCTGTACTGCGTAAGTACTGTGTTATAGTGGGATTGAAATTGAAAAGTAATTTATGATTGAGCCGACATATGCAGCATTTACCGTGAATGCAGTCTCTGCTAACGCGAGAACATTGCCTTTAAATTTAAATCATACTATAGCGCAGATGTTCCAAAGTCTGGATTGAATCTAGGCCCAAGTCTTCCAGTTATGTTATATATGTGATTAAATCGCTAAAATTGGCTTTGTTCAGGAAATGTTGTAGATTGTGAAATGTGCACAGCTGCAAATGAATAAAATACATGTTATCATTGCAAATAAAGTGTGTTTGGTTGTCTATAGCTCTTTCTCCCTGAAGTGAAACTATCCTCTTGTGGAACCTCTTAATGTAAGAAAAAGATAGGAACAGAATAGAATACAATCTATACACTTTTTTGGGGGGGTTCCCAAACCTTTTATAGTCCCATACCCATACTTCAAACGTTCAACCTCCAGCAGCGTACCCCCTCTAGCACCAGGGGCAGCGCACTCTCAAATGTTGTTTTTTTGCCGTCATTGTAAGACTGCCACACACACACTATATGATACATTTATTAAACATATGAATGAGTGTGAGTTTTTGTCCCAACCCGGCTCGTGGGAAGTACCAAAGAGCTCTTATAGTACCAGGGCACAAATAATTATATTATAATAATCAATAATTTTGCTCTTTGTTTATCCATCTTACATATAAAATCTTATTTGTTCATCCATAATTGTGAATAACTCACCACAGGTTAATGAGAAGGATGCACATAACTCTGCAATGTTGGGTTGTATTGGAGAGAGTCTCAGTCTTAAATCATTTCCCACACACAGCATGTGCCTGTATTTAGTTTTCATGCTAGTGAGGGCCGAGAATCCACTCTCACATAGGTACGTGGTTGCAAAGGGCATCAGTGTCTTAACAGCGTGATTTGCCAAGGCAGGATACCCTGAGAGCAGCCCTATCCAGAAATCTGGCAGTGGCTTCTGATTAAATTCAACTTTCACAGAACCGCTTGTTGCAATTTCGATAAAAAAAACAACAACAATTAATTTCACCTTTATTTAACCAGGTAAGCCAGTTGAGAACAAGTTCTCATTTACAACTGTGACCTAGCCAAGATAAAGCAAAGCAGTGCGATAAAAACAACAACATAGAGTTATATATGGGGTAAAACAAAACATAAACTCAAAAATACAACAAAATATATATACAGTGTGTGCAAACGTAGCAAGTTATGGAGGTAAGGCAATAAATAGGCTATAGTGCAAAATAATTACAATTAGTATTAACACTGGAATGATAGATGATAGCAAGTGATGATGTGCAAATAGAGATACTGGGGTACAAATGAGCAAAATAAATAACAATATAGGGATGAGGTAGTTGGGCGGGCTAATTTCAGATGGGCTGTGTACAGGTGCAGTGATCGGTAAGGTGCTCTGACAACTGATGCTTAAAGTTAGTGAGGGAGATAAGTGTCTCCAGCTTCAGAGATTTTTGCAATTTGTTCCAGTCATTGGCAGCAGAGAACTGGAAGGAATGGCGGCCAAAGGAGGTGTTGGCTTTGGGGATGACCAGTGAGATATACCTGCTGGAGCGCATACTACAGGTGGGTGTTGCTATGGTGACCAATGAGCTAAGATAAGGCGGGGATTTGCCTAGCAGTGATTTATAGATGGCCTGGAGCCAGTGGGTTTGGCGACGAATATGTAGTGAGGACCAGCCAACAAGAGCGTACAGGTCACAGTGGTGGGTAGTATATGGGGCTTTGGAGACAAAACGGATGGCACTGTGATAGACTACATCCAATTTGCTGAGTAGAGTGTTGGAGGCTATTTTGTAAATGACATCGTCATAGTCAAGGATTGGTAGGATAGTCCGTTTTACGAGGGCATGTTTGGCAGCATGAGTGAAGGAGGCTTTGTTGCGAAATAGGAAACCGATTCTAGATTTAACTTTGGATTGGAGATTCTTAATGTGAGTCTGGAAGGAGAGTTTACAGTCTAACCAGACACCTAGGTATTTGTAGTTGTCCACATACTCTAGGTCAGACCCGTCGAGAGTAGTGATTCTAGTCGGGTGGGCGGGTGCAAGCAGCGTTCGGTTGAAGAGCATGCATTTAGTTTTACTAGTGTTTAAGAGCAGTTGGAGGCTACTGAAGGATTGTTTTATGGCATTTAAGCTCGTTTGGAGGTTTGTTAACACAGTGTCCAATGAAGGGCCAGATGTATACAAAATGGTGTCGTCTGGTAGAGGTGGATCTGAGAGTCACCAGCAGCAAGAGCGACATCATTGATATACACGGAGAAAAGAGTCGGCCAAAGAATTGAACCCTGTGGCACCCCCATAGAGACTGCCATAGGTCCAGACAACAGGCCCTCCGATTTGACACATTGAACTCTATCTGAGAAGTAGTTGGTGAACCAGGCAAGGCAGTCATTTGAGAAACCAAGGCTATTTAGTCTGCCAATAAGAATGCGGTGGTTGACAGAGTCGAAAGCCTTGGCCAGGTCGATGAAGACGGCTGCACAGTACTGTCTATTATCGATCGCGGTTATAATATCGTTTAGGACCTTGAGCGTGGCTGAAGTGCACCCATGACCAGCTCGGAAACCGGATTGCATAGCGGAGAAGGTACGGTGGGATTCGAAATGGTCGGTGATCTGTTTGTTAACTTGGCTTTCAAAAACTTTCGAAAGGCAGGGCAGGATGGATATGGGTCTGTAACAGTTTGACAATTCGATGAGGCTCTCTTGTTCAGATATCGGTAAGTGGACTGGAGGCAGGGCATGAAAGGGATAACGAATCCAGTGGTTTGTGTCGTCCGTTTGGGGAAGGTACCTGCGTAATTGCGCACCCAGCTCACTCAGGTGCTTCGCTATATCACATTTGACATTGTCCATAAGCTTGAGTTCATTTGCACACAAAAAATCATACAATGATGGAAAGACCTGTGTGTGGTCCTTGTTAATGTAGATAGAGAAGAGCTCCAACTTCTTAATCATAGCCTCACTTTTGTCCCGCACATTGAATATAGTTGCGGAGAGTCCCTGTAATCCTAGATCAGATCATTCAGGCGAGAAAAAACATCACCCAGATAGGCCAGTCGTGTGAGAAACTCGTCATCATGCAAGTGGTCAGACAAGTGAAAATGATGCTCTGTAAAGAAAACTTTAAGATCATCTCTCAATTTAAAAAAACTTGTCAATACTTTGCCCCTTGATAACCAGCGCACTTCTGTATATTGTAAAAGCGTTACATGGTCGCTGCCCATATCATTGCATAATGCAGAAAATACACGAGAGTTCAGGGGCCTTGCTTTAACAAAGTTAACCATTTTCACTGTAGTGTCCAAAATGTCTATCAAGCTGTCAGGCATTCCCTCGTCAGCAAGAGCCTCTCGGTGGATGCTGCAGTGTACCCAAGTGGCATCGGGAGCAACTGCTTGAATGCGCGTTACCACTCCACTATGTCTCCCTGTCATGGCTTTTGCGCCATCAGTACAGATACCAACACATCTTGACCACCAAAGTCCATTTGATGTCACAAAGCTGTCCAGTACTTTCAAAATACCCTCTCCTGTTGTCCTGGTTGCCAGTGGTTTGCAGAAGAGGATGTCTTCCTTAATTGACCCCACATAAACGTAACGGACATATACCAGGAGCTGTGCCAGGCCCGCCACGTCTGCTGACTCATCCAGCTGTAACGCATAGAATTCACTGGCTTGTATGCGAAACAGTAATTATTTAAAAACATCTCCTGCCATGTCACTGATGCGTCGTGAAACAGTGTTGTTTGATAAAGGCATTGTCTGTATAGTTTTTTGGGCCATTTCCTCCAGCATTGTCCCAGCCATATCCGCGGCAGCTGGAATAATTAAGTCCTCCACAATAATATGGGGCTTGCCTGTCTTAGCCACTCGGTAGCTCACCATTTAAGACGCTTCTAGCCCCTTCATATTCATGGTTAATGTTGCTTTTATACATGTCTTACTACTCGAAAGTCGTCTTAATTCTCGCTTAAAATACTCCCGTGTCTTATTTTTCAAATTGGCATGTTTCCTTTCAAAATGTCTGCGCAAGAGTGAAGGTTTCATCGAGTTGTGAGATAGTACTTTTGCACATATAACACACCGTGGCTGAGGAAAGGCACTACTCCCAATATAAGTGAACCCCAAATCAATGTAGTTCTCATCATATTTGCGCCTCTTCGTCCCTGTCTGTTGTTCGGTGCTTTCCCGGGTAAGGGGGCAGTAGCTCTTCGCCTGCATCAGATTCACAACTGTCAGTGTCCATGCTAGCTGGGCTAGCAACAAATGTAGAATAACTGATGCTAACATTGGATGTGCTCGTGGAAGCAGAACAACTTGTGTCATCGACAGGTGCAGGTGTAGTACTCCTGGAAGTAGTACTACCAGTAGAGCTGGTATGTGTCTCTATGGACACGGGCCTTACTTTTTAAAAACATTTATCCATTTTCGAGCAAACGGAATGAGCAGCAGCTACGTTTGGCTACATACGGACCGCTAATGGAATTCCCGCGAGAGAGTAACGGTTAATGTGATTGGATATTAATTATTTGACTAGGCTACCTGTATTTGACATTGTGTTGTTATTTCGATGAACACTAGATGGTTTAATTTTATTTTTGGCAGTGAGACATTGGCTACTCAGGCGAGAAAAAAACCGTCACGCAAATGTATAGCCCTGTTGGAAAATCTAAATGGACTGTTTGAAAATGTGAATCAGATTTTTGTTTGGCGTACCCCCAACGGCATTGCCCTTACCACCAGTTTGGGAATAGCCGGTCTAGTGTAACCGTACTAATGGTAACTCTGATGACCTCTCAGCCATCTTCTGTTCAACTGAACAGAACCTAAAAGCCACAATCCTGACCACATGGTTTGGTATAAAGCTGAGGGATGGGACTGGATAAATGTAACCACTCAAATGAATAGACGGAGCTATGGATGTGGTGGTTCTCTTCAGGCTTACCTGGACCTGCTTCAGCACCCCGTCTCCTAGCCCGGAGGTCATGTAGGACTTTTCTCCGTTCTGCTGCAGCATCCCGTCTCCCAGGCGGGAGGTCATGTAGGACTTCTCTCCGTTCTCTCTGACTATTTCTGTTCCCTCCTCCTCTTCCTCCATGGGCTGGGGACTCCCCTCGCCACTGCTGAAAACACAACACACACACACACACACACACACACACACATTGGAACACAGTGAAAACAGGGGAGTACTGCCTGAACTTGTCCAATGACAGCAGAGGTTTTTGTTTTCCATTGCCGTACTGAACACAACCCAGGTGAGACCATGGTGTTGTAGCTGACTGATGTGGTTGATTGTACCTGTATTCAGGTCCGGTGCTGTGGATCTCCTCTGTAGCTTGTTCCACCTGTTCCAACACACTGAAGCCTTCTGCCCCCTCGTAGTCCTGGATGACCACCTGGGTGATCTCTCCATTCTCATTGGTCCCCGCCTCATAACCCTCCTGCACCTCCTGGACCTAATGGATCATTATTTTGGTGATTAACATTTTGATTGTTTTTCGCACAAACACAAAAATTAACACCAACAAACAGAACAGACATCAAACCCAGACAACACCACAGAACATCATCTTTGATAAATCAAACGCAAAAAACTAACTGCACCAAATATATAATCATATAAACTGGGTGGTTCGAGCCCTGAAGGCTGATTGGTTGACGGCCGTGGTATATCAGACCGAATACCACAGGTACGACAACATTTATTTTTAATACTCTAATTACGTTGGTAACCAGTTGATAATAGCAATAAGGCACCTCTGGGGTTTGTGGTACATTGAAAATATACCACGGCTAAGGGCTGTATCCATGCACTCCGTATTGCGTCGTGCATAAGAACAGCCCTTGGCCGTGGTATATTGGCCATTTACCACACCCCCTCAGGCCTTATTGCTTAAATATATCAGAATACTACAAAATAATATATGCCATATATGTACCTCCTGCACCAGGGTCTCGCCGGTCTCAGACACGTGAAAGGTCACAACTTTGGAGTCAGATGACTTCAACACCTGTACTTGAGGTGACAGACAGGCTGCTCATAGACAGAAACTAGATGTATTCATATTCATGCAGACCATAGCATGTCTCTACTGGTCCTTGTGTGCACAGGTAAACTAAGCATGGATCGGTCAACTAAGCATGGATCGGTCAACTAAGCATGGATCGGTCAACTAAGCATGGATCGGTCAACTAAGCATTGATCGGTAAATTAAGCATGGATCGGTCAACTAAGCATGGATCGGTCAACTAAGCATGGATCGGTCAACTAAGCATGGATCGGTTTCTGTCTGGCAAGCACATGATGGAGCAGTGACTGTCTAATGAGGAACTTTCTGTCTTACCTTAGTGAGCTAGGTTATAGGACTACAGTCGTGGTCAAAAGTTTTGAGAATGACACAAGTATTGGTCTTCACAAAGTTCGCTGCTTCAGTGTTTTTAGATATTTTTGTCAGATGTTACTATGGTATACTGAAGTATAATTACAAGCATTCCATAAGTGTCAAAGGCTTTTATTGACAATTACATTAAGTTTATGCAAAGAGTCAGTGTTGACCCTTCTTTTTCAAGATCTCTGCAATCCACCCTGGCATGCTGTCAATTAACTTCTGGGCCACTTGAGAGAAGTTGCTCTCGGAGGATGTGTTGGTACCATTCTTTATTCATGGCTGTGTTCTTAGGCAAAATTGTGAGTGAGCCCACTCCCTTGGCTGAGAAGCAACCCCACACATGAATGGTCTCAGGATGCTTTACTGTTGGCATGACACAGGACTGATGTGTCACGATCGTCGTTAAGAGAGGAGGACCAAGGCGCAGCGTGATGAACGAACATGTTTATTTATCTATAGTGATAAATTCTGACAATGAACAAAACAACAAACGACTCGTAACATCCTAGGTAACATAGACCAACACGGAACAAGAACCCACCAACACAAAGGGAAAAACAGACAGTCTAAATATGGCTCCCAATCAGAGACAACCAGCCAGAGCTGACACTCGTTGCCTCTGATTGGGAGTCACCCAGGCCAACATAGAAATAAACAAACTAGAACTCCCAACATAGAAATATAACACATAGAATGAACACACCCTGGCTCAACATATAGAGTCCCAGGTCCGGTCTGACGATGCGCACCCCTGGCTTGGTGCGTGGAGTAGGAACGGGCCGGACCGGGCTGGCGACGCACACCGTAGGCTTGGTGCGAGGAGCAGGGACAGGCCGGACCGGGCTGGCGACGCACACCGTAGGCTTGGTGCGTGGAGCAGGGACAGGCCGAACCGGGCTGGCGACGCACACCGTAGGCTTGGTGCACGGAGCAGGGACAGGCCGAACCGGGCTGGCGACGCACACCGTAGGCTTGGTGCGAGTGGCAGGAACAGGCCGGGCCGGGCTGGCGATGCGCACCGTAGACTTGGTGCGAGGGGCAGGAACAGGCCGGGCCGGGTTGTGGAGACAGATAGGAGACCTGGAGTGAAGAGCGGCCACAACCCGTCCTGGCTGAATGCCTACCTTCACACACTCTGTGTGAGGCATCCGCACAGGACGTACAGGGCTGTGTACCCGTACTGGCATAACAGCACGTGACACTGGAGCAGGATATTACGTTTACATTTTAGTCATTTAGCAGACGCTCTTATCCAGAGCGACTTACAGTTAGTGAATACATATTTTTTTAATACTGGCCCCCCGTGGGAATCGAACCCACAACCCTGGCGTTGCAAACGCCATGCTCTATCAACTGAGCTACATTCCTGCCGGCCATTCCCTCCCCTACCCTGGACGACGCTGGGCCAATTGTGCGCCGCCCATGAGTCTCCCGGTCGCGGCCGGCGGCGACAGAGCCTGGATTCGAACCAGGATCTCTAGTGGCACAGTTAGCACTGCGATGCAGTGCCTTAGACCACTTCGCCACTCAGGAGGTATCCGGGACCGCGGAGAGGCATTGGAGACCACGAGCGTTGAGCCGGCACACTCCGTCCTGGCTGCATACCCACCTTCGCACGACACGTGCGGGGTGCTCGCACAGGACGTACAGGACTATGCCGGACCACTCGTGGCACAGTACGCCGCTCCGCATACCGCGGAACCTGCCCCGTCCCATGCTGCCATGCCTGAGTACGGGAAGTTGGTTCCGCTCTCCATCCAGGCTCCGCCAACCTGCCTTCTGGCCCCCCAAACCCGGTGGCCTCCTCTCCAAATCGCCCTGTGGTAGCCTCCTGCTGCCCAGCCGCCCATGCCGTGTGCCTCCCCCTAAAAAAATTTGGGGGTTGCCTCTCGTCCGTCCGACGATGACACCGCTGACGCCGCTGCTCCTCTCTCGCCAGGGTTTAATCCTAGCCCATGGCCCTTTTCCCCCGAGCATGTCCTCCCAGGACCACACTTTGCACACCTGGGCCATCGCCAACATCTCCATCTCCTTTCCCGGCGCTTCCTCCCATGTCCAGTCTGCCTGCTCCTGGACACGCTGCTTGGTCCTTGTATGGTGGGTTCTTCTGTCACGATCGTCGTTAAGAGAGGAGGACCAAGGCGCAGCGTGATGAACGAACATGTTTATTTATCTATAGTGATAAATACTGACAATGAACAAAACAACAAACGACTCGTAACGTCCTAGGTAACATAGACCAACACGGAACAAGAACCCACCAACACAAAGGGAAAAACAGACAGTCTAAATATGGCTCCCAATCAGAGACAACCAGCCACAGCTGACACTCGTTGCCTCTGATTGGGAGTCACTCAGGCCAACCTAGAAATAAACAAACTAGAACTCCCAACATAGAAATATAACACCTAGAATGAACACACCCTGGCTCAACATATATAGTCCCAGAGCCAGGGTGTGACATGATGGTAGCACTCACCTTCTCTTCTCCGGACAAGCTTTTTTCCAGATGCCCCAAACAATCGGAAAGGGGATTCATCAGAGAAAATGACTTTACCCCAGTCCTCAGCAGTCCAATCACTGTACCTCATAACAATGGCTGGAACGGAGCAAATGGAATGGTATCAAACACCTGGAAATCATGTGTTTGATGTACTGTATTTGATACCATTCTCCTGATACCGCTCCAGCCAATACCGCGAGCCCGTCCTCCCCAATTAAGGGGCCACCAACCTCCTGTGGTCTATAGTATGTAAGAAAAATTATAGAACAATTACAGATTGTCTCTTTATACAGATGGAAATGTCACAAAAGAATGCTGTTTCAAGTATAACACAAGAAAAATCCCCAGACAATTCATCAGGGAATATGAAATGACCAGATCTGACTGCTCTAAGAGGGGGGTCATGTAAGTATAGTATTAAACATGCACACACACACACACACACACACACACACACACACACACACACACACACACACACACACACACACACACATACATACACACACACATACACACACACACACACACACACACACACACACACATACGCACTACATACAGGGATGTTTACTCAGATATTGTCTGCTTTCTTCCAGCTTGGTAACAAGAAAGAGCTACGGCTTCTGTGCCAATCCAGATGAGCCTTTGATTAAGAAGATCGTGAAGTCCATCGATGACAGTAAATTCAAGAAACCACTTCCCTGGAAGAAGGCTAGTCTAAACATGAGCATGAGTAGTGTGTGTTAAACCAGGGTTAGGACACACTGGGCGCTCCAAGACCGGAGTTGGACACACTGGGGCACTCCAAGAGTGGAGTTGGACACACTGGGGCACTCAAAGACTGGAGTTGGACACTCTGGGGCACTCCAAGACTGGAGTTGGACACACTGGGGCGCTCCAAGACTGGAAAGAATTATGGGTAATCAAACATATCACAAATATAAAATCACAAAATCTGTTCTCTTTTTTAAATGCGGTTGACCCAAACAGATATAAAGATGCTGTATAATGGTCTATTACAGAATTACAATATTTATTGAAGAGAAATAGACAACAGATGGTGCTATTTGAAAGATATTGTTAAAAGTGCAACCTGTAGTTTCATTTCTGCTTTGAGTGTCTCAGATTGCGGAAGGGGGTGGGGTCTTAACGAGGGTAAGACACTGCTTAGTTCACATGGAGTTCGGATCGCTTTGATTGTTTGTGCACAAAGTTATGAGCACAAAGTTACAGATTGCACCTTTAATCATGAACATTTACGTACAGAAACCACAGTCTGTTCTCATTTTCTGTTATATTTTACCTGATAAAACCTTAATGGCCCATGGGCTGCTGGAAGCAATTGTTAACTCTTTTGATGTCTAATATTATACTGAACAAAAATATAAATGCAACAATTTCAAAGATTTTGCTGACTTGTAGTTCATATAAGGAAATCAGTCAATTGAAATAAATTCTTTAGGCCCTAATCTATGGATTTCACATGACTAGGCAGGGTGCAGCCATGAGAGGGCCTGAGAGGGCATAGGCCCAGCAACTTGGGAGCCAGGCCGAGACAATCAGAATGAATTTTACCCCACAAAAGGGTTTTATTACAGACAGAAATACTCCTCAGCAACCCGCGTCCACTCCCCTCAGACATCCCGCTGGTGAAGAAGCCGGATGTGGAGGTCCTGGGCTGGCGTGGTTACACGTGGTGAGGCCGGTTGGACGTACTGCCAAATTCTCTAAAACGACGTTGGAGGTGGCTTATTGTAGAGAAATGAACGTTGAATTCTCTGGCAACAGCTCTGGTGGACATTCCTGCAGTCATCATGACAATTGTATGCTCCCTCAGAACTTGAGACATCTGTGGCATTGTGTTGTTTGACAAAACTGCACATTTTAGAGTGGCTTTTTATTGTCCCCAGCACAAGGCGCACCTGTGTAATGATCAGGCTGTTTAATCTACTTCTTTATATGCCACACCTGTCAGGTGGATGGATTATCTTGACAAATGCTCAAATGCTCACTAACAGGGATTTAAACACATTTCTGGGATCTTTGATTTCAGCTCATGAAACATGGGACCAACATGTTGTGTTTATATTTTTGTTCAGTATATGTCCACACCTCTCATGTGGCCGTAATCAGCCTCTTCAAAACTCCCCTGATGCCCTTGTCTTTCCTTTGACTAAAACATGTGAGAATCAATGTAAAATGAGGCCACAACAACGGTTCTATTCAACATATGTTGTGGGTAAAGAAACATAATTGTGAAAAAATTTTACATTTACATTTTAGTCATTTAGCAGACGCTCTTATCCAGAGCGACTTACAGTTAGTGAGTGTATACATTTTTTCATACTGAACAATCTGATTGTAAAAACAAGTCATGACTCTGACTGAGAAAATAGTTAAGTCATATATTCATAGCTGCATTCTGCTGTTTGTTAATCAGTCAGTTAGAAACCATCTTAGTGAGCCCTGTACTGTTCCTTACACATTCATCATCATATTCATCATCATCATCACCAATAGTGGAGAGACAGATTTTGGCACTCAAATAATGAAACTGAAAACCTGTCAGTCTCATGCAGTAAGGAAGAGGACACTCAATACTGAAACTCCTGCAATAGGGAAGAGGACATTGTGACAGATTACGATACTGTATACCAATATACTTCAGAATGATTTAATGACATAGCACTGTAAACTCTATTATTCAGAAATAATATATCTACTGATGTTTTCTCATTCAGATAAAAGATATTCCCAGTTATATTAGCGTTTTATGTATATTGTGGAGGGTGCCATACCGAAGCAGTAGATATCCTTTCAAGAGTTCAAATTGTGTCCTGCAGGTCATCTGTATGTTATTGTTTTAAATTAGAAAAATAAACAAGCATTTTCATTTTAAAACTGGTTAAAATATGATCTTTAAAATGTTTTATCAGATACTACCTCTACACCTTCAGACATTTTGTTTAATGTACTGATAACCAACGCCTGATTACAGACCAATTGTTCATTAATGGTGTAGATAAACTTTTTTTGACTTTTTGGTCAGTCAATATTGTAAGTATCGTCTGGGACATTAACCTTTTTCTTCATATATTGCTGTGCTGTTGTTGAACGCTGATATCAAATAACTTTGGCAATTGCAAGCTACTCTACTTTCCAAATGGCCTATCTTACATAAGTCTGCAAATGCGATGATAGATGCATGCAATCCTTTAATATAAAGATGCTATTTTATGGTGAAAAAAGATCTTCCACAAACTTGAAACTTGCATGCCCCGACGGGGGAGGGTGCAACTCTATATTAGGTAGGTGTTCCTAATGTTTTGTCCACTCGGTGTAAATGCCGTTCCACAGACCTTTAAACCAGATGTTGCGGTGGCAATTTATGGCTGGGGTCATTATTATTTTTTGTTGTTGTTCTCTAAATAGCATTTTAGAGTTTTTCAATTGTGTAGAAATGCAGTAAATGAGCTTAAACTTCCAAAAAAATTCCCCCTCCCCCCCACACCCCACTTTGACATACCCTAGGTTTAGCTGAACTGATGCTACCGTGGCACAGACTAGTATCCAGCTATATTTTGTTTCCCAAGGTTAGATAATGACACACTGTTCATTAACATTGTTCCAAATCATATTCACTTTTGCTACATAGGCGTTTTATATTTGTAACCACATCACACTTTTCTTATCTGAAGTTGTGTATTCAACTGTGTACCAAATGGCACTATATTCCCTATTTAGTGCACTACTTTTGACTAGAGGCATATGGGCCCTGTTCAAAAGTAGTGCACTATATTGGGGATAGGGTGCCATTTTGGGACACTCCGATTGCGTGATATTGTGTGTTAAAGGAGGGCATGGCATGACATGGTCATATTGCTGTGGATTGGGTCCTGGTGTACAGGATAACTGTATATAAGGCCTGGGTTCTCCTACTCTAACTTCACTCACTGAGTCCAAGAAGAACCAGAAGCAACCATGATGAAGTGGGCTGTCGTCCTGTGTGCCCTAGTGGTCCTCTCCGAGTGTAATACCAAGTAAGTCCCAGTCCTGTTCTATTCTTCTTTTTAATTTTATTTTCTGTCTGCATATTCTGTTTATTGTTGTCAGCACCATTTCACCAGGTCAAATTCCTGGTACATGTAATTGGCGAATAAAGGTGATTGTGATTGTGTGTTTTTAGGATCTCTCTGATCAAGGGGAAGACTGCCAGAGAGACCCTGATGGAGAAGGGTATATGGGAGGAGACCAGGCTGAAGTTCCCCTACAACCCTATGGCCAAGTTCTACCAGACCGGTGATGAGGCTATGACCAACGATGCTGATGTAAGGCAGAGACAGAACCAGTATGGTGATATACTGTATTAGCCTGGTGACTGATCCCAGATCTGTTTTTGCTGTATAGTCAATGACCAAGGGAGTTGTCTACAGTGCATTCGGAACGGAAAGTATTCAGACCCCTTGACTTTTTCCACAATTTATGACGTTACAGCCTAATTCTAAAATGTATTAAATAAAAATTGTCCCCATAATGACAAAGCGAAAACATTTTATTTTATTTTGCAAATGTATATATATATATATATGTTTTTTTTTGTTTCGTTTTCTAATCCTTTATATAGATAAGTATTCAGACCCTTTGCTAAGAGACTTGAAATTGAGCTCAGGTGCATCCTGTTTCCATTGATCATCCTTGAGATATTTCTACAACATGATTGGAGTCCACCTGTGGTAAATTAAATTGATTGGAAAGGTACACACCTGTCCATATAATATCCCACAGTTGACAGTGCATGTCAGAGGAAAAACCAAGCCATGAGTTCAAAGGAATTATCCGTAGAGCTCCGAGACAGGATTGTGTCGAGGCACAGATCTGGGTAACGGTACCAAAACATTTCTGCAGCATTGAAGGTCCCCAAGAACACAGTGGCCTCCATCATTCTTAAATTGAAGAAGTTTGGAAACACCAACACTCTTCCTAGAGCTGGCCGCCAGGCCAAACTGAGCAATTGGGGAGAAGGGCCTTGGTCAGGGAGGTGACCAAAAACCTGATGGTCACTCTGACAGAGCCAATCAGGCCTTTAGGGTAGAGTGTCCAGACGGAAGACACTCCTCAGCAAAATGAACATGACAGCCTGCTTGGAGTTTGCCAAAAGGCATCTAAAGACTATCAGACCATGAGAAACAAGATTCTCTGGTCTGATGAAACCAAGGACTGGACTCTTTGGCCTGAATGCCAAACGTCACGTCTGGAGGAAACCTGGCACCATCCAAATGCACTGTATACAACACAAACAGACCTGGGACCAGGCTAGTCTATAGACTATATGATTATTGTTTCAAAAATGTCATTACATGTTGGATATTGTGACTGCATAGTTTGAACCCATTGACTCTACAGTTTGTGTTCATGTCTTGCTTACATTAAATGCACACTGGCATGATCAAATTAATTATGAGCTTAGAGTTGAGCATATAGCCATGCTTCTTGACAAGATACTAGCTACATAGTTAGACAAATGCCTGTTTCTTCATAGTACTCTGAAAGTTCACTTGTGTGACCCTGACTTACAGTACATCTCTGTTTCAACGTCTCTCTGCAGTTGTCCTACTATGGTGTGATCTCCATTGGAACCCCTCCCCAGTCCTTCAACGTCATCTTTGACACTGGCTCCTCCAACCTGTGGGTTCCCTCTGTCTACTGCTCCAGCCCAGCCTGCCGTGAGTATATTGTAGGGGTCTGGAGGAATACTGTTGACGTTGGAGAATAGCTATATTTCAAATTGTTTCTGAGTAGTCTCTTGTGACAGAGTTGCAAAAAACTGTTTCATATTGAGTACCTAGCCAGAGAATGGGGAGACTTGGTTGTGGGTTGAGGTTAGGGGCTGAGGGGAGCTCCTTGAGATTTACAGCATAAAGGGGTTCGCTCAACACAATGAAACAATAGAATAGGAGGAATGTATTTTTGTATTGTCCCATTTAGAGCGTGGATTGTGGAAAATAGCTCAATACAAACGAAGAAATGAATGTTCAGTTTTGCAATGGCATGGTGTGTACTTAATGAAGATGTTCATGTTTTGAATAGAGAACCATGCCGAATTCAACCCTGCACAGTCTAGCACCTTCTCATGGACCAACAAGCCTGTTTCCATTCAGTACGGAACTGGCAGCATGACTGGACAGCTGGCATACGACACTGTTTCAGTATGTAAAGGTAGCTAGCTACACATTATTGTGATACATCTTTTTATTGGACACTTTCAAATACAACATACTGTACATACATACAATACAACCACGAAATAATATTCCACTCAGCACCCGTCCTCCCCTAAACGGTCCCATTTTATAACATCACATGCTATAAACAATACCCAAGGCATATTAGTAACTGACTCCAGCAGATAACACAAAGAAATATAATTACTATTTTGGGTACACTCAATATGGCCTCGGTCCACACATCACCAAACAACTGACTTGAATGGGAAAACCCATTCTAGTAATTCTATTTTCTATGGTGCCAGTGGACTGATTGCCTGCTGTTCTGTGTTTCCAGGTGGGAGGTATCTCTGTGACTCAGCAGATCTTTGGTGCCAGTCAGACCGAGGCTCCCTTCATGGCCAACATGGTTGCCGACGGTATCCTGGCCTGGCTTTCCCCAACCTGGCAGCCTCTGGGCCACACCCGTCTTTGACAACATGATGACCCAGGGCCTGGGTGTCCCAGAACCTCTTCTCTGTCTACCTGAGCGGGTAACATAGTAACTGTACAAATACACCTGGATGGGAGGTGGCATTTCTCTTAGTTGTGATATTAATAAATAAGAATGTAACCAGTGAATTGATATTAATACAATGTATACAACTGCTTTAATTGTCTTTGAAGGAGAGGTACATCCATTTCAAAATGCGTTGATGATTAAACAACCTTGTTGACCTTTCTCCTCCTCCAATAGAAACTCAGCAGAGGGTAGTGTGGGTCATTCGGTGACATCGAGTCTAACTACTACACCGGGACAGATCACCTGGATCCCCCTGTCCTCCGAGACCTACTGGCAGATAAACATGGAACAGTAGGTACACTAGTCCACACAGAGCCCATATCCTGGTCCATATCCATACCAAATTCAGTATCATCCCTTCATGCCATTTCCCAGAACACTTGGAACAGTACATAAAATGAACATGCCTACTTCCAGTCTGGAGCCTATGACAAATCTTGCTGTGCACTTAGCCAAGTTCATGTTTTTTTGCTCACAACAAAAACCAACAGCAAGAAATATACATCAAAAACCCAAAAATAGGGGAAAAACATGTAAACTCAGCTAATATTTGTCCTTCCAGTTTACCATCACGGCAAAAACAGTGGCTTGCAATGGTGGCTGTCAGCTATCATAGATACTGGTACCTCCCCGTCGTCGGGCCACAGGACACAACAACATAAACAGGGTCGGAGCCACCACTGGACCGTATGGAGATGTGAGTCACACACACAACTGGACTGGTACAGACATGTCCAACTATAAGGCTTTTCACACTACCTGAGCGGAACCAAGCCCAGCAAGTGGGAAGAGCAAAATATCTGAACCAGCACATTTGTGTTGGGACGGTATTGGTTGTGTGAAAAAGGGTATACATCGTTCGCTTGTTGTTGTTTTTCCCTCAATCACTGCCTCCCTTTGATCAAACCACAGAATAAACCATAAATTTTATTCCTCTCCTAGGCACCGTGAACTGCTCAACACCCCAACTGCCGAGTTACTTCACCTCAACGGAAACGCCTCACCATCTCTGCCTCCCCTACACCTCCCGGTAGTCTAAAAGAATGGGTTAAATAACCTATGACCTCCCATTGTCTACTAATACAAGTTGATACATTTCCCTATGACCTCCCAGTAGTCTATAAAGGACAGTTGATACATAAACCATTTCCCTATCTGATTTTGTAATGCTGTGTGGTTTCGGAGCAAGCTCCTTTATCAGAGCACCTGTACATCTGAGAATTGACCTTTTTTTAACCTAGGAGCAAAGGCCTCAATCCTTTTTCCCCTCTCCTCCTCTATCTTGAGAACTCAGGTGCATGATGGTTTTTGGGAAAAATGGTGGAACTCACAGCTTGGTCCCTTTGGGAAAGCTCATCAGGCAATACATCCATCTTTGACAGGCGACCAACAGTGCGGTCTAGCCAGGCTGGTAAGTATCCATTGGAAGATCCACTAAACACAAAATCCATGATCCCAAGATCCTTAAGGGCTAGATGTAATCTTTGCGAAGTCCGTGTTATAGGGGATTGAAATTGAAAAGTATTAGATTGAGCCGCATATCGCTTTACCGTGAGCAGTTTTGCTAAAGTGAGAACAGCCTTTAAATTTAATTGTGCTAAGCGCGTCTTTCCAAGTCTGGTGAATCTAGGCCTAAGTTTCCAGTAGTTTAAAATGTGATATAGCACTAAATGTCTGGTTGGGAAAGTTGTAGATGTGAATGTGCACGCTAAATGAATAAATACATTTTACATTGCAAATAAAGTGTGTGGGTTGTCTATAGCTCCCTTCTCCCTGAAGTGAAAAATCCTCTTTGTGGAACCTCTCATGTAAAAAAAGATAGGAAGAATTTGAATACTAGAATTTTTGACCCTGAACATGAGGAGGAGGTTTGGGAGAGCATAGATAACCATCTTTATAGGATCCTGACTAGTTGCCCAGTCCTGCCGCTGAAAACATCCCCAAGCATGAAGTTGCCACCACATGTTCACCGTAGGATGGTGCCAGGTTCCTAAGCGTGACGCTTGGCATTCAGGCCAAGAGTTAAACCTTTGGGTTTATCAGACCAAAAGATCGTTGTTTTTGGTCGGGAGTCCTTTGGTGCCTTTTGGCAAAAACTCCAAGCTGGCAGTCTGTGCCTTTTACAGAGGAGTGGTTCTGTCTGGCCTTCTATATCCCTCTGCTTTGAAATAATAAAATAGTTATTATATGCTTAATTTGTTTTCTATCACATGACCTTAATTTGGTACTGTCTCCCACCCACCCACGGTACGTCTACGTGTTTGGGCACGGCAAGCCAGCACTTTACATTATTATTCCCACTTTTATCCACTCTCTATTAATCAATTACCCGCACTAACGTAATCATATTTTAATATATTAATATTAACCAAACCACTCGTATTTCTAATGATTCTTTATTGCCACAATTAGTTTACCTAATTAGTCCCCGCGGAACATCAATTAATTACCTAGACCCCCATACACGTGACCTGTTCCTCCAACAGGATTTGTCATACCCCTCCGAGAAATCACACACACACACCTTCTGATTTCCTCTTAAATCAGGGCACACACACTCCTTCTGATTTCCTTTTAAACCAGGACACACACACTCCTGATTTCCTTTTAAACCAGGACACACACATCCTGATTTCCTGTTAATCCAGGACACCACACACTCCCGAATTCCTGTTTATCCAGGACACACACCTTTTCTACTAGCCTGCTTGTCTTATTTACACTTATCTATAATCACATTGCATGCATGCTTGTTCTCAATCCAACAAAACCTCTGCTCTTCTACTAAATTTGGTCCTTAAATTCTGGAGAGAACCCTTCTGTACCCCACCCTCGATTCAGCTTGATCGAAACACACAGTTTAAGTAAAGAACGTTGCTTACCTTTGTTTAAACAGTGGCCACTGATTGTGTGATTCGTCCCAAAAACCCCCTCCGATGGCAAAGCACTCAAAGACTCTATAAACGGTCCTGCCGGGATCGCCAATTAGTTGTGGAAAATAACCACTATACTTTTTTACAAATCAATCCTTCCAGAGTGTTTTGGGGATTAAGAATGACTTCATTATGATGTCCAAAAACCAGGCCAATTTTGCAGATTGCCACCTCTTCTTCTCTACATCTTATATAGTGTCCTCCACACACCATAGCTTTAAATCCTCCCTCCTCAGTTTCCCGCTCTTTATTGCTCCCCACTCCTTTTCTATGGTGGCGGCTACATTCAACTTTATTCAGTTCAGAATCAATAGTAATACACTCAATCAATCCTTATCTTTCAAAAATACTCATGTTTAGGTTAAGCTCTGTTCAACCTTGGCGCGCTCTTTATCACTTTTTTGTGAGGGGGAGAGTCCCAAAAAGGCCACAAAATAGTTCAGTCCCCTGATAAGATAAGACAGCGATGGATTTCAGTAAAAGCGAGCAATCAAACCCTAAGTCAGATTCCATCTTTACCCACCCCACACAGTGAAATGACCCAATTCAGTTAGCCACAAAGAATGTTAACTATATGTTGATGATTAACTCATTTTTACCTCATAGTCCACTAAACAATTTCCCAAAAGAACCCACCAAAACTCTTCCTAGAGCTGGCCGGCCAGACAATGAGTTTAATCGGGGAGAAGGGCCTTGGCCAGGGAGGTGACCAAGAACCCGATGGGCACTTTGACAGAGCTCCAGAGTTCCTCTGTTAAGATGGGAGAACCTTCCATAAGTACAACCATCTCTTTCATCACTCCACCAATCCGGCCTTTATGGTAGAGTACATCATTGATGGGAAACAATGCCAACGTCAGAAAGCAGACTAGAAGATGTGGTGGATAAAGTCAAAGTCCACAAGAAGGTATATACAGGAAGGGCGAACAGAACTGACAGAGCAGGGGAGAGACGTTCAAAGAAAACTGACACAGATGCAGCTAGAAGAGCTGACAAGAAAGGAAAAAAGAAACACAAGCCCATGATCACTCGGCGCCGCCTGAAGAGGGCATCATGGCACCTGTCATCCAGGGAGGTCAACAACCACCGCCTCAGCAGCAAGGCCAAGAGGTCTGGCCTTACCAGTAGTGAATGTGTTACAACCAATCCCCTGGGGGCCGTGGCAAAACAAGAACAATGAAAATGGACCCAATAATCAATGGTACCAACCCCAGCATCAGACACACCAGAATGGGAACCAAGAAGACCAGTGTTTTGCTGGAGGTGCAATCAAACAGGACATACAAGAAGGGGTTGTCCCCCCAAGCCGTGGTGGCCTAGGCAACCACAACAGGGTAATTTGGGAAGGAAATGGGCCCAGCTAAGCTGATGGCAGCAGTCTCAGCACAGGCTCCACAGGGCCCAGTGAACCCGTGGGAGGACCAAATCATGGGTACTAGGGATGCCCAGAGAATCCTAGAGGGAGGGTCAGTAGTGGCAAGTAACTATGCGGCTGATGAAGAACCTATGCTGGGAGGTTCGGTGAATAATAGAGGCACCCCAATATGATAGATACTGGAGCAACTTACTCATGTGTAAGTCCAAAATATGCCTTCCACCCCCCCCATGTCAGGCCAAAACGTAGTTAATACATATGACAGTTCCAGTAGAATAAAAAAGCAGGAAAGAGCTACATGTGTACATATATTAGTGTCAGAACAAATTCCAGTTTAAATTAGGAAAGATGCACTGTGTAGATGGGGTCCAGCAGTAGGCATTTGGGGTTTTCCTATGGTGGTACTCACGCGTGCGTAGTGGGTGGAGTGGTGGAATCAAACGCAGCAGAACACCGAAGGATAGTCCAAAAACTTTAGTTAATCTCCAACAGGAAAAATACAACACTTGCCGAAGGCAAAAATACGCACGAAGGGAAATAGCAACAGCGCACTAACAGGTGCATATAACACACAACACCTGACAAAACACAACGAGAACTAAATAGGACACTAATGACACTAATGATAACAGGTGTGACAACAATCAGACAAAAGCAAACGAACATGAAACAAACAACGGTGGCAGCTAGTATTCCGGAGACAACGAACGCCGAAGCCTGCCCGAACAAGGGAGAGAGGCAGCCTCGGCCGAAACCGTGACACTGGCTATTTTTTGTTTGTTTATTGTTTTACTCTATGGTGTTCAAATAACCACAAACGACCTATTTAGTATGAAATGGTTAGCTGTATAGGATTTTTATTTTTTATTTTAGGGTTCTTTTCATGGGGTAGAAGTGGTATGTCTTAAGGGGGAAAACACATGTATTGTGGGCTTTTATTTACTGAATGATGAGTAACTACGTGTGATTTCTTTTGAAAAGAGTTGT